GCAAGAGCAAAGTTAAGCTATCTGGTGCGCATCTTGGCCCTAGGTTGGGCCAAGTTGGGCCCATGTGATCTATGTTGGGCACATCTTGGGCCCATGTTGAGCCTATGTTGAGCCTATGTTGGCCTATGTTAGGCCTATGTTGGCCTATGTTTGCCCAGGTTGGGCCTATGTTGGGCCATCTTCAAGGCTATGTTGGGCATATGTTGGCTATCTTGGGCCTATGTTGAGGATATGTTAGGCAATTGAAATCGTCTGGAAGGCCTCTACCCACAAAATGTCGATTATGCCTGTCCGCCTTACCGGCACCACCCTTGAAAAACACAGCATTTTTGCATTTTTTCCATCTTCGCCGCGTCGTACTTCGATATGCGCAATAAACCCTGTAAAACACGGTGTTTTTTTATACCTCGCACACACGAAACACTGTAAATTACGTTGATATCAGTGACCCGGAAGTGACGAGGGGGTCCCCCCGTTTTTCGTGGCGAGGGTCGGCGGCAGGGGGCGCCCGTCTATAACCTTCGGTTACCACCGAAGGCCTCCGGCGAGGACACGGGCGCGTGGCCGGCGCCCGGATTTATGAGACTCACGCCTGACAGCCGGGCGCCGGCCAAGTAGGGAGCAGGGAGAGGGTATAGGCACAAGATAGCCTCCCCAACATATGCCCAACATAGCCTCCAAGATGGATCAAGATAGGGCCAACATAGGACAACATGGGGCCAACATACGCCAACATATGCCCAACATAGTCTCGACCGAGGCCAACATAGGCCAACATATGCCCAACATAGGTTCAACATGGGCACAAGATGTGCCCAACATAGACCACATGTGCCCAACTTGGCCTGACCTAGCGGTAAGATGCGCACCAGATGGCTTAACTTTACTCAATATAGGCCCCACCAAGTCTTAAAAAGAGAGAGAGAGAGAGAGACCCAACCCTAAGATCCAAGTGAGCCGCATAAGGTGGGTGTGTGTAGGGATGGGTACTCTCTCTTTCTCTGTCTCTTTCTCTTTCTCTTTCTCACGCTCTTTCTCCCTCTCCTCTCTCTGTCTGTATCTGTCTCTGTCTTCGTCTAGGTATCTTTCTCTCTCTCTCTCTCTTTCTCTCCCCTCTCCCCTTAACCAGAACAGTTTCGGAATGTAAGTAACGAGTAGTAGAATAGCGTGCGTGGATAAAAAAGAAAGAGGCGCGAAACTGCTTGAAAATGTAGCCAATGGACGATAAAGTCGCATTTTTTCAGAAGTTGCAACCGAGCGCTAAGTTTGCCTCTTTTGCTGTCACCACCCATAGCCGTAGACAGGAGCCATGGCGAGCGCACCTGTGTTCACGCTGGTGTTGTCGGACTCGACGGGATATGGCTGGCTTCGGAGGGACAGGTAGTCCGAGCGCTAAGTTTGCCTATGTTGGGCCTATGTTGGCGTATGTTAGCCCCATGTTGGCCTATGTTGGCCCTATGTTAACCCATCTGGCAGGCTATGTTGGCCTATGTTGGCGCATGTTGGCCCCACGTTGGCCTATGTTGAGCCATCTTGCAGGCTATGTTGGGCATATGTTGGGGATATGTTGGCTATCTTGGGCCTATGTTGGGGATATGCTAGGCAATTTATGTTGAAAAAATCTGCCGATACAACTATTTACGATTTTTCCTTCCCACAAAGCAAAAACCAAGAAAAACCGACGTTTTTTTAACATCGCCACGATGAAATTCTCGGCTGCTGAGGGGCCCAAAACCCTGTAAAACACAGTGTTTTTTATACCTCACACACACACACACGAAACACTGTAAATTACATAGAAATCTGTCGACCGGATTCGACCGGGGGTCGGGCGGGGGTCGACTGGGAGTCGGGCGGATTCTCCCCGCGGTCCAACAAAAAGGGTCGGCGGCAGGGGCGGCGAGCGTATATAACCTTCGGTTACCAACCGAAGGCCTCCTTTCACTGTTTGTTATACGTTGTTCTTGTTCTACTAGGAACCAGGACGCTACTAGGGGCTCCTGGCCATACTACTAGGAGCAAGGACGCTACTAGGGGCTCCTGGCCATACTACTAGGAGCAAAAGGACGCTACTAGGAACAAAGGGCATCGCCTACTAGTAGTGATGGGTGAGGGACGCAGTCGAGTTTTGCAGGATGTTGTTGCGGGGCACGATTGCGGAACGTGACTGTGCTGAGGCTGATACGCAGTGTGGTCAATCATCCGGCAACGGCGCAGGAGTTTTTTACAAGGCAAGGCAGCGGGGGCCTGCGTGGGAGGTGGGTTTTGTGGATATGAGAGATGGTTACGGCCAAGTTGGAGATCGGGGAAAGGGAATTTGAACGTAGAAAAGTGAAAAGTTGTGGACATGGTGGGGTGTGGTAATGGCAAGGTTGAGCAGCGGTGTAGACGGAAAATGAACGAAGAGACAGTCGGAGTGGCTATGAGCATGTGGCGCAATGTGGAGCAAAGAGTATTCATGATTATTGAAGCATGTGGGAGAGGCATGTGGTAACTGGAGTGACATGTGTATCTTGAGGGGGAGTTTCTTCAGGCTAGTGAATTTGGAACAGCTTGAAGTAGTTTGCGCGACACAGCCAGGGTCAGGGCTGCTTACGGCAGGATCGGCGCGGGCGCTTTTCCATCGACAACTTTGAAGCAGATGTGTGCTTGGAGTTGCTAGCATCGATTTGGACACCCGGCGCCATTGGTCGGGCTACGGGGCGCGCGTTTTGCCTTTCATTAAAGGCGACTGGAGCTTGGTGGGCAGGGTGCAGTGGCGGAAGAGGTCCCTGTTGCCGAGTTCAAGGGTATAGGAGGTCTAGAAGCGGTCCCCGACCAGGTGTGCAAGATCGACGCTTTTGCGAAAAGGAATTTAGATGGCAGGCCACAAAATGACCCATTCCCCACACCTCCAAGTACCTCATCACAACGTATTTGGGGTCGCCAAACCCACCGGAAAGACTTTCTCAGAATCTCAGCAACGACTGGAGGCCTAGCGGGATTGTCGCGCGGATCATCCGGGTCACATCAGAGCCCAGACATGTCCAGCCCCAGGGATTCTGTTGTTTTTTCTCATGTTCGGTACGACAAAAGAATGTGCTGGCGCGTACATAACAGTGTGGAACACATGACCTTCTGAGAAGGTACGACTGGCTCCCTAAGGGCATGTATCAAGCATAGCCTACATGGACGCCAATTAATCACACGAAGTGATCGGCAAAGAGGCCAATACCAGACGAGATGTGTTTGGGTACGGTACTTCCACCGTCAACCCAATCACGAACTCAGTCTGGAAACCAGTGGGTTGTGGAGCAATATTGTCTGCCAGTGGGGTAGACGAGACAGTCCGCTTTGCGGACTGTCTAGGAAAGGGCGTGCAGTGCGGTTGCGATGGCGGGAATGGGATGGGCCGCTGATGTTGGAACTGTGCAGCGGGAAGGTGTGCGATGGCTGACGAAAGTACGACGCATTTTGCTGTCGCCGCGGCAAGCTGCAGAAGGGTTTCCCGGATTGCGCAAGTGGCTGGGCGGTAGCTTGTTGCTCGGCAAAAAAAGCGGGGACGATGGGATCTAGAGGCGGGTAGGAAACATCGTTGGTTAGAGACTGTCCGGAGCATCGAAACGGAAGCAAGTGTTTACATTGCATGAGATGGTTGAAAACACGCAGAAGGATGTGAAAATGTGAAAGACGCTGTGTGTCTGAGAAGGAACCAGCGACAGGCTGAAAGCAGACGTTGCTTTTTTTCTGTGTAAGGTTCCGCCTCATCGTCCTGCGCGATGTGGGGCGGTTTGCGCCAGAAGTGCGACGTCCGTGCGACTTACCTTTGCTGAGTCGTTTTTTGGTTGCAGTTTTGGTTGTCACAGGTTGCATTTGGTTGTCATTGGTTGCATGTTGGTTGCCATTTGGTTGCATTGTGGTTGCCTTTCATTGCAGTTTGGTTGCCAGTGGTTGCCTTTTGGTTGTCACTAGGTTGCATTTTGGTAGCCACTGGTTGCAGTTTGGTTGCCACTGGTTGCATTTTGGTTGCATGGTGGTTTGGTTGCCTATTTGGTTGCATTTTGGTCGGCTTCGTTTCATTTAGGTTGCCTCTGGTTGCGTAGTTTCTTTGTTTTTGGTTACCATTTGGTTGCAATTAAATAGTAGCATGTGGTTGCCATTGGGTCGCCCTTTTGTTGCAAATTGGTTGCCGTCCTTTGATTAAATGACTTGCAGTTAGCCCAATATGAATTTCGGTTGCAACCACAAGGAAATCAAAAAAAAGAAAACTACGCAACCAAAGGCAACGAAAATGCGACCAAGCCAACCAAAATGCAACCAGATAGGCAACCAAAGGCAACCAAAATGCAAGCAGTGGCAACCAAAATGCAACCAGTGGCAACCGAAATGCAACCTATTGACAACCAAAACGCAACCAGCGACAACGAAAATGCAACCAGTGGCAACGAAGATGCAACCAATTGGCAACCAAAATGCAACCAGTGGCAACCAAAATGCAACTAGTGGCAACCAAAATGCAGCCAGCGACAACCAAAATGCAACCAGTGGCAATCAAAATGCAACCAATGGGCAACCAAAATGCAACCAGTGGCAACCAAAATGCAACCAATGGCAACCAAGATGCAACCAACTGACAACCAAAAGCAACCAATTGGCAACCAAAATGCAACCAACATGCAACCAACATGCGAGCAAGGCGAAGCGACTTTGCAGACAATGGGAAGCAATGCGGGCGCGGGCTTCCGACGTCTGGCAAAGGGCATCTTGCGGAGGAACTTCCGGAACCGGATGCGGGGGGTGCCGTTTGGCACTTTGTGGCAGCGGCTGTATCCGATGATGGTGCGGGGCGGTGACGGGGAGAGCGGGCGAAAAGTGTGTGGCACCATCGGCTTTGCGAGCAGGGAGGTAAAGTCGAAGGGGGAGAGGTGGCGCACGAGGTGGAGAAGCTAAGAGAGAGTTCGGAAGAGGGTGGTTTGGGGGAGAACGATGTTGGGACATGCTGATTGCTGGGTGTGGCGCAGGTTGCGGAGACGCAGAAGCTTTTGGGCCCAGCTGTGCATGCGGCGCCGGTGTTGGACTCTTTTGCGCTGAGCCATTCTTTGTGTGACTGGCAGCAACAGACGGATCGCAAGTTGCAGCGCCGGGCAAAGCCGCGTCGATCAGTGCAGGGCTTGCGGCAGTTGGCTGGAACAGCGTTGGCTGTGGGCGGAGGCGGGGCAGTAGCTTTAGGTGGGGCGGTGCTGCGTTTGTTGCAGGGGGATTGCAGAGGCGAGCAAGCTTGCGTTGTTTTTTTTGGGGTGAGTGATGTGTTGTGCATGAGCTTGTTGTGTTTCGAGGACATGCAGTAGCATGCAGTAATAAAGTGCCGGGAAGCGTCGCTGTGCAGTGACTGGTGTTGGGGTATTGGTTGCGTATGTGCGGCCCCACGCGAAAGCCCTTGAACAGCTGTCGAAAGCCCTTGAACAGCTTCAGCTGCCCGATGCAGCCTTCGCAAGTCGTAGAAAAAAACTCCCACACAAGCTCCTCCCCTCAACACCATGCTCGTACCTCCCTCCAAAGCTCCCGGCAATCTCCTTCGCCACCCTTTTCCACCATCTAATTTGATACCAAAAATCCTCCAAAAATTGTCCTCCCAGTGCGGCCCCAGAGTCTCTAACTCAACACCATGCTCGTACCCAACACCATGAGGACTCGCACCTCCTCTCACGCACTCCCCTTGCCGCAGCCGCAAGGGGTCGGCGGATTTAATGTATTCAAAATGTTATGATGATTTTGGAAATCAGAAAAGTGCGTTCATAATTGCATGAACTGTTGGGGATGTCAGAAAATGTTTTTTTTGCGTGGTTGCTTTTGGTGTTTTTTTAAAATAGTTCCACACCAAACTATACAAGAAGAACACACAAAACATGATTTCACTTTAACAACTGAATCAACAATCGAGTTCAAACAACAAAACAGCCAACCATAACACTTTCAAAATCGAATATAAACATTACAAAAACTTAGCAAACGTTAGCAAACTTAGCAAAGCTTATCAAAATTTAGCTAACCTTAGCAAGTACACTGCAACGTTACCAAGTACCACCTATATAAGTATGGCGACCCGTAGCCGGACTTAGGCCGTTTAGACCATAGTTAGCCACATATGATACCAGGAGAGCAACTCCAAAAAAGAAACCAAAAAACACTAGCCCCCCCTCAAATACCAAAAATGCCAATCCTGTAGAGGAATAATTTGCACTCCCTCCATATACAAAAACATACCAAAAAAAGCAAACATACAAAAAATACCAATCCTGTAGAGGAATAGTTGGCCCTCCCTCCAAATACAAAAAATATCAAAAATACAAAAAATGCAAATCCTGTAGAGGAATAGTTGGCCCTCCCTCCAAATACTGGACCAAACATATCAAACATACCAAAGACTTAGAAACATACCAAAAATACAAAAACTATCAAACATACCAAAAATACCAAAAATACAAAAACATCCAAAAACATATTAAGCATACAAATCCTCTGGAGACATATAGGCCACCTGAGTAGTATTTCCTCTAGGTCTTTGGTATTTTTGGTATTTTTGGTATTTCTTTTTGTATTTTTGATATTTTTTTGTATTTTTGGTATTTTTGGTATTTGTGATATTTTTGGTACTTTTGGTATTTCTTTGGTATTTTTGGTATTGTTGATATTTTTGGTATTTCCTCTAGGTCTTTGGTATTTTGGGTATTTTTGATATGTTTGGTATTTCCTCTAGGTCTTTGGTATTCACATATTTTCACGTGCATAGGAAATACTTAAATTTTTTAGATTTTCATGTGCATAAATAACACTGAAAAATACACACGCTCACAGCGCTGGTTTCTGATAGCAAACTCTATCTTGTTTGCTTTCTCAAGTCTCAAAGTACTCGAGCGCCAGACTTTGCGGTGCTGTGCAAAGAGGTCTACCTGCTAAAAGGCAAGCCGTTTGACTGGCTAGTCTATTCCCGAGACATGTCTCGTCAGGAATGGGGGACATTGATGTTCTTCTGCGACTACCAAAGCCCAGGACTAGGTGCTGTTGCGTTTATTGCAAGGAGGAAATTCTGTTGAAGCCTTTGCTTGAACCAGCACACCAGGCACATGCCGGAGTTTAAGCATATAAGAAATATAGGAGGTGGGACTAGGCAGGAGTGCTGTACAAGTACAAGGAACAATTCCATTCCCATTGAATGAGCATCACAACTTTGTAAGTGTACCTGCAAAGTAGTCTACTCGGCTACTCGCATGACCTTCCTTGCACAAGTTGTTGAGTTCTACTTGTATGCCAGTCACGATGCTGAGAATACTCCGTTCTTGCTCTCCGCTAGGTCCGGGAAGAGAGACGACGCTGGTGGAGCGCTAGAAGCTTGGGACTTTTGTAGGTTTAGAATCATCCTCTTCTGATCTCTTTTGTGGGTCGGCTAGCTCTTCTTTACTTTCCGTCTCAAAATATTACGCAAGCTACAGTCAAAGTAAGGGAAGACCAGTAGGTCCTGAGCAGAATTGCGTCCAAAGCCTGGCAAAGCGATAGGGCCCCCAACCCCCTGGCAAAAGTAATGATGTGGTGCATAAGCATAAGTGCATTACTATGCTTCGATTGAGCAACAGTGGGTCCGCCAGATATAGACGGGCCGCCTGGAAAAGATTCCTTGTGGTCCGGGCACTTCAAACATCTTCAAGCACTTTGTCCTGTCTTGTCATGTTGCCCCAGAAGCCGGTCGACCCTCTGTGATGATTTGACATTCCAGAATGCCAGATCTTCAAGCTGTCGGGTTTTGCTTGTGGCGGTCCAAATCATTAGTGCGAGCGTGAGCTATCCTGCGTCCCGTAGCTAGGAACGAGCTAGTCTCCCTTACTCAATGAAGTAGTAGACAGTCTCCTTTTAAGTAAGTAGGGGAGGCTGGGGGCATCTGGGGTACTAGGGCTAAAAGAAAATAACTCTTCCAAGGTTTGGCCATCTTTGGAGCTCCCTGGGGCCGTGCTGGTGCTGAACTCAAGATCATGGCCGCCATCGAAGCAAAGGTCCCAGGCCACACCGATGGACGACGCGGTTCGACGGTTGAACGGAGGCTGTGAGTGGACGTGCGTACTTGGCATCTTCCACTGCCATCAGACTTTCTTCAAGGTAATTTTAAATGGCTTTATTTACAGTTTTGGATATTTTTGGTACAGGTGGAACTGAGAAACTGCATTCGTCAAATTTCAATTCAGTAGAATTACTTTCTGTTCATCAGTCTTCCTCCTCTGCCCTCCGCTGTCAGGCCACTACACCTCCGGTGTTGGCGATGTCGCCTCCCCAGAGGACCGCTCCCTGGCAATGCTGTGGAGAGCTGCAAATGAAGCTGTCGATCGATGCTGAAAGTGCCTGCGCTGCCCATGTTCTTGATGCGATGTCGCATAGCGCTGACACAGATTTTAATGAAGCAAAGCAAACCCAGAAGCATTTGATCAAGAAGGCTCATCGCAAGTATTGTGCAATGAGCGCAACAATGAAGAACAATGGCTAGTGACTAGTCTCATTGACCCAGGCAGCAGTTCTTGACTCTGGCCTCCAGCAGCCGCCAAATCAATCAGAACCTTTCCTTTTGCAATTTTGTATCTCATGGGCATACAAAACACTGGAACAGACCAATGGACCACCAGACGGTGCAATGTTCTTCTTCAATTACAGTTATATCTCACAAGATGCCCTTTATAGGACCTTGCGTCCCCGCATGATCCTCCATCTACTATTGTCATCTATTGTCTATTGCTGAGCGTGCCGTCACAAGTCAACTTTCGGCTCAAAATTTGCACTAACCCTGCCATTGTTTTGCACTGGACAATATCTCGGATTGCTGAATGCATTTGCTGAGTGACTTGCGTTATATATATATATAGTGATGGCTGAATTCAAACGACTATGTTCCCCACTCCTCCACCTTCAAGCGGCCTACTCGACACCGACCTTTGTGTCTGGGATTGCAATTTGCCCTTTTGTTATTACTGACGTTTGAAATCATTTGAATGGGTTTAGTGCATTTACTCTGAGACATTTGCAAGTCTATGACATGCATTTCCATGTGAAGTACTCAAGCAGGTCTCTCGTTTGATTCCAGAACGATCCATGATACACACTCCTGCGTGATTGTCTTGGCTTTGGGTATTGATCCTTCAGGAGGGTTGGGCAGTGGACACGATGCCACTGACAGGCCGGGGCTGTATGGTAGCCTTGTACTGCCCAGTTTCAAACTTGCAGATGCAAACCCATCACAAACGGACAATTTACAAACCGTAGAGTTGTAAAACAACTTCGAATGCTGAGACCTTACCACTACGGAGGGATTCTCTTGAACTCTTTAAAGGGGCTCCAACTTCAACTTCAACAACGTTGTGTACAAAGATCGGAGGCTTTTGGGTTTGAGCCAAGGCTCGTTTGACGAATCATGGATCGCTGTTCTTGGAACTTCAACGCTCCAGGGGATGAGCTTTCTTTTGCCTTGGGCAAAGAGGGCGCTACGCGCCGGAAGCTCGCAAGTGCAAGTGGCTGGGGGGCCAAGGCAAAGAATGGCTTCGCAGATTGTAAGAATAAATAATCAACATCATACTGTAATACTAGTACATCCTATATATAATATATATAACTACATAATAACTACATAATGACATACTAGCACCAATGCTGTCATGGGAGAGCAACCCTTTGAGCATTTCATTTCTAACTTTGGCTGCCTTAGAGCCGCAGAAGGTGCGCGGACATTCATGATATAAATATACTTGAATCTTCTGATCCAAATTCTGTCCAGGTTGCCTGAAGGCAATTGGTTTCAAGGTGTCAACTTTCCGGTCCCTGACAGATTGTTTGACCTGTATTCGACCTGAAGAACTTTCAGAACAGTCATGAAGTCACGAGCGCCTGACTGGCTCGGCCACGATGCATCAATTGCTAGCAACAATGTTCACACAGGGGGTCGGGGCGTGTCAGACTCCATCCTTCATAAAGCCCCACATGCGAGTGGGAGGGCTTTTGGTTTTGCGTCGCTGCTCTTGTTGGACCTTGCTATCCATTTTGCAACATCAACCTACGCTTTAACATGCTTTAACGTTATATATTTACTGTACTGTAGCTGAACACACCAATTTGGATGCTTAGATTTACAGAATTGCTGAGAGCTCCGCGTCACTGAGGCTGCATTTTGGAATACATTGGCCAAGTCGCCTACATGGCCGGAGTTCAAGCAGAACGCCAACGTGCTCGGGACAGCCATCGGAAACAAAAAGCATCCTTGCTCCTAGTAGCGATGCCCTTTGTTACTAATAGCTTCTTGTTAATTGCGTCCTTGCTACTTGTAAAAGTCATTATAAATCCATGTTGCGTTTCACACACTCCGCTATGCAGGGGCTAGCTTGTTTGCGTCAGAATGATTGAGGAGACGCACCAGGGACTGACGGCTGACAGCTGACTCAACGGGCCATGTTGAGCAACAGCAGTTTGCAGGACTACATCACCTGGCTGAAGCAGCAGCGGATTGGTCCTGTCTACATAGACCTCACAGGGCGCAGCGATGCAACAGAGGTATGGGACTGGTGCTCTTTTTCCTTTATTACAGCTCAGCAAACTAAAGAAGTTTCGCTTCTAGTCTTATCAGAAAATCATGACCGCTGTATCAAGGAGACTAAGCACGCGAGACTGTGAGCACTGTGTATGTATATATATATATAGAGAGAGAGAGAGGGTGTCAGTGCGACAGGTGAAAGTGCCGAGGGAGCTCACTGGCATTTTGAAAGGCTCGGCTTGTTGCTCAGGTTGCTCTTGCACAGGTCGCAGGATGCTCTCAGAATAGTACCCCACCCGCAAGCTGCAAGCATCAGTTTTTTTGCTCATGAACTCTAAAGGAACGGCGCTGGGTGTGATTATGGTGATCATCATTCATCAATATTGGATTTGGTGCGTAGTGTAGACCCAATGACAATCTTTTGCACGGCGATTGCGCGATGTACAATAGACATCAACAGACATAATAAAATAGTCCGCAAATTACACGGTTCCCCGTTTCATTTGTACTTCTCCAGAGTTTGGGAGCATTCTTGTAGGTCTTAGGATTGGGAGCGAAAAACTGGCCTTCCATGCTTATGTGACTGGCCTGTCTTGACAGGCACTACCTTACGCGACATTGAGCACGAGACAAAGACCTTTTGCTTCCTCGAAGGTGATGTGGACTCTTCTGTGCCTTGGTTCAACAAAGGCCAACGAAGGCACATGATACGACATGAGGCCATGCAAATATAAAGTGTTTGCATTTGGCTCAGATTTTTGTGTTGGAGAAAGTCTCCCAACACTGTGAGAGAAAGTTGCAATTATTCTCTCAGGAGCGACTTCTGATTTTTGGTGCTTCACGGGGCCGACGCCAAGCTGAGCGCAAGGTTCGAGAGTTGGCTTGGCAGGTTTTTTCCGACGTAGTTTAAAGACGTTTATATATAGAGGCTTTCACGGCACACTGTGCACCACGTCGAACACTGGAACCAAACAAATCCGAACAACCCAATCCAATAAGTTCAGGGATGCACGACCAAGCCTTAGAAAAAGAAACTGCAGAGATACAATTGTGCAATCTGGAACAACTGCAGTGATACAATTGTTGGAAATTCAGCCATAGGATGAGGAAGGGCAGTCAGAGCAAAGGATCCTTAGGGTTCTGAGCATCCCTGAATCCTAAGCGATCAATTGTTTTCGCCAACCCATCTCATGCCCCACCCAGAGCTGCAACTGGAGATCGTTAAGTGGTGTATTGATTGGAAGCATCTGATGCCTCAGAACGGTCAAGTATCAGCAGTTGTTGCTTTCCTGGTTAGGTCTAAGCCAGAGAGTCAAGGGGCAAATCCCTTGACAGCCTTGACAGAAGGCATATTGAACTCTTCTTCCATGATGTGTCCATTGGTATTGGGAAGACTTATCCATCCTTTTTGTCAGGTGCAGGACCTTATACGAGTGCGGCCACCTGGGCAACCTAATCAGGCCAAGAAATACATACACGTCGTTTGAGACATTCTATTGTACAGAAGGTTTTGAAGTCATACTTGTGAGGGGGATAGAGAGAGATGGGGGTTAGAAGTATGAAAGGTAGCTATATGTACTAGGTATAAGTAGATCTAAGTCGCAAGCTGTAGCTAGGGAAGCATGAGTAGCTGGGAGAGTGAGAGTTCGAGTTCTTCAAGGCAGCTCCTCCACCATGAGGATGGGAGAAGCTTCCTTGAAGACCCCTTTGCTTGGAAAAGCTTCCGTTCGATTTCAGGGAAAGGCTTTCAACTAAGAACTTCTACTACGAACGATCTTAGTCTTTCAACTAGCGCATTCGGGTTTGGACGATCTTCTTTGGAGGAGGATCTTGGCAATGGCAATGGCGGGGCCCTTGGATATGAGACTAAAAGTGCAGCTGTGCTGTCAGACTTCAATTGAGCATGAAAAGACAGTGCAACACTTTGACGCAATAGAGTCTATATATAGAGACCACTATAACTATGGCACCCCGCGAAGGGTGATCAAAGACGACTAAAGAGAGTGTTCTTGGAAGCATGGCTTTGTGCATCTTTATACCATGATTTCGGCTTTGCAATGGCTTGAAGTTTGTTATGAGTAGCTGAGACTTGATTTCTGGCTGCAGGAAATAGTGAGAATCAGCCTCTCGTGAAGGCGGAGATCCGCACAGGGCAGGCCATTTGCCAATCTTTGGAGAAGGACAGGCAGACAAGACCTAAAATGGGTCAGGGTGATGGATTCATAGGCACATGATTCAGATTCCAGATTCTGATTTTCTGTGGCAAATTAGGTTGACCAAGGAAGCAACACACTGGGCGACTTGCAATAGCTCAGTCGCATTGAACCGTTTCACTGCAGCGCATAATATATGTCGGAATCTCTCGTAGCCTTCCTGGACTCGTAAGGAGAAGCTACAAGCCATTCAACAAGCCTGTGGGGCTCGGCTCACTCAACAAGGCACCGAAAATGTGCGCCTTGGATGCAGACATGGGTGGCTCACTCGTCTTGATTCGTTTCCAGTGCTTCAATTCGTCTTCTTGTTACTACTAGCTTCTTGCTACTAGTAGTAAGGCCAGGAGCCCCTAGTTAGTAGGTTCTTGCTACTACATCAACTTGGTGTTTCAGACGTACGGAGCCCAGGGTTTCACCTCGTTTTCTCCAAGGCTGATCCAAGGCTACGCTCAGCAAGTAAACCTTGTTGCTTGGCCAGCATTTCTGGTGAAGTCACAAGTGGAAAAACCGCTCTTGTCATGTTTATATTGTTCACTGGGCGGCTTTTGTAATGGAACATCCACAGATCAATGTGGCAATTTCGATGGCTTGACTTTGAGCATTCTAGGATCTCAAGTTGTGATCAACCTGATTTAGTCCACAATGGGTGAAGAGCATATAAAGGTCAATCTTGGCCATGTAATTAAGTGGCAGGCCAAGAAGCAGCTGCAAGAGTACATTTTCGGCTTGAAGGTTGACGAGGCGCAGCTTGTTAGAACATTAGACTATTAGATAAATGAAGAACCAATAGAATCCAATAGAATGCTTGTGTCGGCAGTATTGCCAATTCACCCGTGCGTTTGGGCCGATCGGTGCTTCTTTCCTTGGCCTTATTTGAATTGGACACCAGAATGATTTGTGTAGAGGTAGAAATTTGAGATGCTGGATTTGTCCTAAAATTTATCAAGAAGGAACATGTAAACGATGTAGAGATGTGCAAATTTGAGGCGATCAAACCATCAGTGAAGCTTTGACTGGATTTGACGCCTGGCCAGGAATTCACTACACCGAGTGGAGTCCCTTTTCATGTGTTCATTGCCAAAGCCGCAGATGGTACACCATCTATTCTGGAAGAAGCCTGCAGCTCAGAGTCGGGGGTGAGTTCTGAGCAGCTATGGTCAAAACAACTTGAGACCCGTCCACCCACGCACATACACACAGACAGCCATAGTATTATCGCATCCACTTCAATTTCCAAACACGCACAGCAGGCCGCCTATGCCATCAATGGAAGCCCACAGTGATCGCATGTTGACAAAGAATGGCAAAGACACATTGCGACCAAAAACATGCAGCATGGGAGCTCTCAGGTCCGCAATAGGACCCGAGTTCGCGTACAGGCAGGAGGGGAATGTGAGGTTTAGCTTTAAGAACTCAAGAAGTAGGAGAAGTCAGATGTGCATACTAGCAGTGGTGCTGTAACAAAGACAATGAGTTGCGATCTCAGATACAGTGCGTCCTTGAGGGAGAGGACAACTGCACAATGTTTGTGCTTCACCATTTTGCCTTTTAATCTTAGAAGCCCTTGACGAGGGTGTCCCGTCGGTTTTAGCTTCCGGAAAGCCCAGACTTCGACCAGCTGTTTCCTTAACCTTTGCTTCGTTGCATGGATTGTGCACAGTCCGGGAGCATTTTACTTGATAGGAAGCTGCTCTGTTGTTTCAGAGTAGTTGTCACTGGTGGATGTTGCGGATGACTCGTTGTTCCATGGCAGGTGAAGCAGGTTGAAAAGAAGATCATCCTGTCTGGCATATTCTCAGCCGTGCTCCCAATAGCTCACACATGAGTGCAAGATGTTTGGTGGCTTGTTGCGCAGGCGGCTTCTTTCTATCCTTTGCAAATGATTGAATCTCTACAATCTCCATGTTCTTTCAAGCAATCATTAGTTAGCAATTGAGCAATTCTTTCCAAATTGCGAGACTGCAGCCTTGAGGTTGTGTCAAACGCCCGAAGAGATTTACAAGCATTCCTCAGCTCCTTCGTCACGCATGAGGCCTGTGGGATAGCAATTCTGCCTCCATGCTTATACATGTGTAGTAATTTCCAGCTATTAATGTCGCCGATGTATGAGACATGTGTCTCATTGATGCGTTTGCATTTGGCATTCTCTGCGGTTTATGTGGTGGTGATGTGGAATTCCGTGTTGACAATGCGTGTGGTCGTGATATATGCTTCCATGGTTTGGTGATGTGCAGAGGGTTCAGTGCTCCTTGCTGATTGCTCTAGTATTTTAGAGGTAGCTATGTGTTGAACTTGGCTAAACATGGTGAGAGCTGGAAAGCAACGTGTTCGATTAACACAGTGGTAAGATGGCTACCTCAGCAAGTGGTGCGCCAGCCAAGTTCTGAGCAAGCTAGGTGGTCAGTCCAACTAACTTTGAGGCAGCTATAAATTAAAGTATCGAATTCTTATGGCATGGGGCTGGCGCAGCAGCAAATTTAACCGTCTTGAGCCAATTGAATCTTGGAATCTCAGTGCTATCAGTGCTAATCAGCAGAATTGTGAGGTAGCCAAGTGATCACCTAATTAGCCAGCGAAGCATTTGAGCAACAAGAAGTCCGGATTTGGCTGAATCTTGCAAGAGCAAATATATAATATATCATACATAGTATAAATACATATGTATGTAATTGTATGTACAGTATAGATATCGGCTCACATCAAACAAATACGTGCTTATCAGTCTATATGCGCTTGAAAAGTAATATGTATATTCCTGAATACGCATAGAGGCATCAGATGGAAGTCGGTGTCCGTGCATGTACGTGTTGGTGCAGTGTATTTCCAAATTATTTCGGCTCACAGATGTATCCAAGCCTCAAGCACAGCAGTCTTGCTCAACACTGGCGTGGCAACGTGCTTTACGGCTTTGCCGTTGCACAAGGATTCTTGTATGGTTTCTAGCATCCTGCGAGCGCACATTCAGGTACAGCTCCAGAAGGAGCAACTGGAGAAAGTCTCTGCTCTTGGCAAGCAACGCTTTCCAAAGTTGAGACATGGCACGCACAAGACATTTAGAGAATTGGTTGGAGTTGGCCACCAAGAAGCTGTGTTATTGTGTTGCTACGAGTTTTGACATATCGTGAAGGTGGGAACCACAAACTTCATATCAGGCATTGTCCAACCTGGCGAGCTTGAGCATTGGGTGATGACACCTGTGCAAAGGCCGTCTCATGCACGAAACTTTTGCCGATTGTGCGGTATGAAAGAAGGATGATGGTACTAACGGTGACCGGAGTGTTGACGAGAATGTTTCACGCGATGTGACACCGTCCACAGTCCAAGGAACAACTTCAGACACCTGGTCACAGCTCAGATCAACAAGGCCAGGACACACTGAAAGGCGACTCTCATTGCAGTGGGGACCCTCGCAACAGAGTTGCTTTAGGAGAATATAGCGCTTGCATTATTAGATTCCAGATGCACTTGTTGAACTCCTCGGCATTCATTTCAACCAAGCCTTTTTGTGCATGAGTGAACAGATGTGAAGTGCAGTGGTTCCGCCAAGTAAATAACATCGGCTGAGGAGCAGATGAAGCTAACATTGTCTGGTGCACCAGACGCGGTTGGAGAGGCCTATGCTGACTGATGGCCGACACAGATGCTCAATTTTGTGAACATTGTATGTATTTTGTTTACCGGCTTGTTTGTGGATCCCTAGCAGATCTTCACTTCTCCACTTGGTCAGGCCCGGGAAGCAGTTGATAGTCTGTTCAAAAAAGAAGAATGGACCATGCCCTCTGCGGATGTGCTGCTTGGCCCAGATGGAAGGGCTCTACCACTGACTTACCTCCCACCAAGTGCCCTTTGGCCACTTGTTGGACTGAACCACTTTGGCTTCCGCTGCCACTTGGGATGGATGTTGATTTCAATTGGTTTCAAGATTGTACCATTAGGGCTCAAGACTGCACTGTCTTTTGAGAAACTAAGGTTTGCGTCCAAACACAGCATGTCTCGCAGTGGCAAGGTGGATGGGGAAGGCATGCCTTGTTCAACCGAGTTGGCTGATCAATCCGCAGGGTGGCAGTGAATTGTGACCAAATCCTGTCAACAAAACAGGCGCACTGTCGTAGTGCTAGCAACTAGCAGCAAGGTGGTTTTCAACAGTCGCAAACCTTTCCTTTAGCTGCAGGCCTCTCTGCTGAAAAAGCTGGTGCTCGCCGCGATGGAAAGATTGCAGAGATCATGCAGCTCACGGCACTGTGTCGCAAGTTTGGAAGGGGGGAAGGCATGTACTCTGGCACGAGCAAGTTTGTCCTCAAGATGTTCAACTCCCTTGTCCTGTCAGTTGAAGGCAGATCGAAGACGTCTATATAATAATAGTGAATTAATTGCTGTGCCGTGCATTGCCGTGCCAATGATTAACATATATTCCATCAAATCGGGGATCCTGCAGCAAGTCAGAGTTTGGCTCCTTGCCTCATGAGTACGATTGATGCATGTGAACCTTTGCCCAAGAGCTTCAGCCGAACATGCAAAGCAAAGTCAAACCAGGCTAAAATATAGGGAGCCCAACGCATTAAATAGAGGGTCCGGAGCTTCTTTTCAGGTTGTTCATCAATCCAAGTTCAAGCGACTCCCTCTCCCTCCTTCCTCAGGACATGGATTCGGCTTTTATCCTCGGCCGCGGTGGAAAGACAAAGCACAAGATCGCTCGAGTCTCTGGAGCTTCACTGGAGCTGCATGAGCACAACTGTTACCTGGCAGAGCTTTGGGGGCTTTGGGATGGCCTGGCTTAGGCACAGCCAGCTGACTTCTAGTATCTTCCAATCCTCTTTGCTGGATTGCTGGAGGGGTTCCTCTTAGTCTGAGCCTAGCTTTCATTTGGTCCATGCTATAGGAGGTAATTAGGAGCTCGTCTTCAACAAAAGCATATAGATTCAAAAGGAGCAGGACTAGGCAACACCCCTCAACACCCAACTCTATCTCAAAGCGGGGACAGACCTGCGCACTCGTTCGAGCATGCCAAAGCTCAGCCCAAGGCACAGTAGAGATCGTTGGACCCGAACCAGAACGTCGGCGAGCGAGAAAGTACATCAATTTGGTGCGCAAACACCCGCCGGGCAGTGTTGGCAATCGCTACTAGGAACAAGGGCATTACTTCTAGTAGCAAGAGGCTACTTGTAACAAGGAAAAGCTACTAGGAACAAGGGCAATTTGTGTCCATGGGAACCGTTCAACGTGTTGCTAGTAACAAGTGACAACAAGTGCATCGCTACTAGGAACAAGGGCATTACTACTAGTAACAATAAGCTACTAATAGCGACGCAATGGGAGCCGTTGAACGATGTGGAATGATCAGAGACATCGTTGGCTGTGTACCACGAGACAGCGAGACACCTGACTTGAGAAGACCATAAGAAGACCAACGAAACTGCAATTAGTGAAGCGAACAAATATATACACATATGTTTGTTCTTTTATGCCATTGTTCGCCATGTTGTGGACAGCACTGCTGCATGTTGACCACTACTTGGGAAGACATTTGATAACTTGATAGGGTCATTCTTTGGACTAGTGTTTGAATGTGAATGATTCTTTTGAACTCCTTGCATTGGCAGATGCAATGTGTTGCCTGGCAGGTGCGAGCACAGCGCGTGGGTCCTGTGCATGTCACTATGGAACACGATGATGGGGACTGGTACTGGTTGGGTTGATGCCAGCTTTCACAGAATGGGCTTCGTAACGGAGAAAGAGAAGAACAACAAGAAGGTATAGGACCTTTTAAGGTCGTCTTATTGAAGAGGCCCTTGAACGGCCCTTGCCTTCTTTTTTCGCACTGTATCTTTTTTGGTGGCGACTTCGCTATCAGCGGCTCGTCTTGCAGGATTTGACCATGATTCCCGTGCCTTCCAGCTGTGTGGGCTTTGTCACTGGATCGCAGGGCAACTTCCTGAGGAGCGTTCCCAGCGGAGATTGGATTGACCACCCTACAGTGGCACAACCCGAATGTAGCTGTCGAATGTTGAGCCTCGCAGCCACGCAACCTCTACTGTCGTTCTTTGATTCTTGTGACCCGACTGTACAGCAAATGTTGAAGCCAAATTGTTGCTCAAATCAGTCTTGACCCCAGGACCTGCGAGGAGGAATGGAGCACCTTGATGTTCTTTTGCGACTATCAAGGTGTGCCTTTCGGTTTTCAACCTGCTATGTTCGTCACCGGAACATGAGCGTCAGCCAGCTGCGAGCTGCTTTAAGCAATCATTTGCTAGTGTGTCACATTGTAAGATCAACATCCACTAGAGATGACATGACAATCTTGCTTCGCAATTCAATTTGACTGTTGTTGCTATATGTTGCCATTATTGTACAAGATGTTGTGCAAGACGGATTCCCTTTTGAGCTGCAATTTCCAATCACATGGTCCCAAGACCTTGGTTTTGCAGTGTGGCAGCACCGCAATACTGGGCCCTGACAGCTGCTACCCAATGGGTCAGGTCCTGGAGGCAATGAAGATTCTGAAAACCTCGCCGGAGCACCAAGAATCCCTGTCAAATTGTATGATTTCAGTGGGCAAGCTTTTTCATGCTTTGTCATACTTTCTTGTACAAATACATCACAGAATCAAGCACAACAATGAAGGACAACACGTATGACCTTTTCCAGCAACAACAACCACATAATGGGCTATCACTTAAATTGAAGATTTGCTCCGAGGATAACATCTAGAGACGCTGTTGGAGGATGGACTTCCACCCAGGCCATCTTCGGTACCCGCGCAGGGCGCACTGGAGCTGAGCTGAAGGTCATGGCGGCCATTGAGGCGAAACTGCCGCCGGGAAGCCAAAGACTGGATCAAGGGATCATATAAATGCTATTAGGTTGGAGACCATCGCTATTGTGTTGGAATGGGTTGGAGGCCATTGCTATAAGGCTGGAGGCCATCGCTCTTAGGTTGGAATTGTTGGAGGCCATTGCTACTAGATGCTATTAGGTTGGAGGCCATCGCTATCAGGTTGGAGGCCATTGCTATTAGGTTGGAGGCCATTGCTCTTAGGCTGGAGGCCATCGCTATTAGATCGGAGGCCATTGCTATTTGGTTGGAATAGGTTGGAGGCCATCGCTCTTTAGAGGCCATTGCCCCTCCCCAAAACAGGCTCCATGGAATCTGCATCTCACCAGTCCTATCCGACCAGGATGACTCATCCGAGCGCAGAGGAAATATTGTTTGGCCTTGCTTTACAGACCACATCCTTCCCTCCATGTTTTGCCAGCTGCATGCCACCTGGACGGATAGAACTAACATGAACTAACATCCAAGTAAGGCGACTGCTTGATGGTTGGAAGTTGTCCCGAGGTCGTACTTTACAAAGGACCTGACAGACGAGTCTTTCTCCTCCACAGCTTGGTACCCAGAGAATTAGTTGGCCAAGATGCATTGAAACAGTCAGGTCAGGACATATCGTTTCCAGACAATACTTATATAATCTATTATAATCTTATATACATGTTTGTACTCACCAGAGGTTTCGGCGGCACAGACGTAGCACAAGCAGAAGGCATCACTCTGCTCAGGAGGATTGGGGCCGCGATACCATCCCCTTGGAAGATGAAGAGCTGTCCTTTGCGCTGGGAAAGGATCTACAAGTGATGTGCTGGGCGGGCTGGGAGTCAAAGTCATTTTGAGTTGGAACGACAATACCTAAGCCTAAGCCGAAGATTTACCGACCAATGATAGAGGCCGGAATGGAGCCAGACATAGTCCCTTTTCCTTGCGGTCGGTTGGTTGTTGACTTTGATGAATGACTTCCCTCAACATCTCTTGCAGGATGGCTCCACGAGGAAAAAACTTGCCAAAGCCAGTGGCTGCATAATAGAGTCTCTTGGATTCCAATTATCCACCGGAGCGCGCCATACCAGCCGGATTCTAAGGCTAGTTGCAGTAAGTGCAGTCTCTTACTATGTTTACTCTCAATCAAGCTGTTGCAAAGGAAGCTTTGTGATTCGTGGAAGCCCAGGGAAGCATTTTCATAGTTATCCTTCATAATAAATAGGAGTGTTTGTTGGTGGATGATGGACATCTATATAGCTGTTTAAAGTCGTTATTGAGGCTCGGATGTAAGACTAGGATCCGCAGAGGGTTTGCGGAAGCTCCAAGGAAGCAGTGTGGAAGCCGAAGTAAACTCTTTTGCTCATCCCTGCTTACGGACTAATTAGAGAAATGAGTAGCGGAAGCATTGCCAGCCTTTTGATTGCAGACTTGACTTAGACTGTACGTACATCATGCGTTACACCACACATAGCTTTTCACTTTGTATATTAAATATTAATATATATATATAGATAGACAAGGTGTGCTGCCGAGGGAGATACACAGGAACACTGGACCATACACTCACTACATGTTTTCCCAGTGGCAACTTGCTTCTGGTCATGGGGCATCAATCGATGAGGACTTATTTCCGTGGGAATCGAACCCTGGCTTTCAGGTATGTGGGCAATGTGGCGTTCTTGGCTGGCTCCCTCCCTGCAAGAAGGCGAATTGCCTATGGGCCATCGACAAACACAGGTGAAACAATCAAGCTAAGCATGCCTCGATTGATTTGCTTGACTTCAGAAACCAATGCCATTGCTAGAAAAAACAACTGACACTTTTTGCAATTATCATTCAAAGAGCATCAGGAGTCCAACTCTATTCCCGACACAATCCTAAAAGAAACTCCTGTTTCGATCATGTGTTCGTTTTCTTCATCAGAAGGCAGGTTTGCAGAGCAAGGTCAGAGACATGGTTTGTTTCTCGCTTGCTTGCCCTTTCAATTGAGTCAATATGGTGGCATTGAGTAAACGCTCACAGAAATGCTGGTAGGACAAGAACCAGGACATATACTCACACACTGAAGGCAAACTAGCCAGTCAAGTAAGTATTTGAAGGTTAACGCTTTGTTTGCATTGCTTACTTCAGGCCATCGCTTCTAGGTTGGAGGCCATCGCTATTAGGTTTGCCCTCAAAGGTTTGTGAAGTAAAGTGAAGGGCTGTGCTTGGCTATGCTGTGATTTGGGCGGAAACAGCGCTGTTTCTCTAGACCGACAGGCGAGCGAGAGAATACTTGTCCTGGCTCCTGAAGCAGCGGACGGGAACGGTGTATGTTGACATACATGGCCGAGCCTTGGAATGTGAAGTGATGCCCCCAAGGAACGCCCTTTGTTCCGTTCGTAGCTTCTTGTTACTAGCAATGCCAGGAGCCCCTAGTAGCATCCTTGCTCCTAGTAGCGATGCCCTTTGCTACTAGTAGCTTCTTGTTACCAACTATTAATTATCATGATTCACATGAATAAAACTACAAAAGAGAAGGTAACAAAACGGTGTTTCTTTTTGAAAAGGGGCCCTTACCTTCTCTTGTTCCTCTGTATATTACGAAAAGCGATGTAAGACTGAAGATGCTCGAAAGATCTACTGTAAGTTGCATTTTGTGGCACTTGCAACACTGCAATGACTGCAGCCTCTGAAGAGCTACAAGCTGTCAACATTGTCAGATGATGTCAGATGGTTGGATCACCCGTAAAGAGTAGACTCGCAAGTTGGTGAATGAGGATCCTTCTCTTTTAGTTGCCAAGCAGGTGAAATATTTGATAATATTTGGTCTCAGCCATTTGAGGGCAACCACTGCCCAAGCTCTTCTGAAGATTGATTTTCCCAGCTTCCAATGACATTGACGCAGGATGCGGGCAGTACCAGTTCCAGCCCTTATCACGAGCATTTTTAGCACATGTGTCCATTAGTCATAAAGGTTCAGTGTATATTGGATAGGAAAGGTCAACATACGGATCAAGCGGTCACTGTTGAGCTGAGCTTAGGAAATGACGTCACAGCGGTGGAGATTCCTCCAGATCTAGAGGCCAGCGGTCAGTGCACTACACCGCTGCCGATAAATTGACCTGCAGGGTGTCATGCAGTTTGTTGGTTCACGGGGATCAAAGTTGTTCTTGTGCCTCTCCATAGTAGATCTTATAGATGTAATTGTAATCCTTCCTTTGTGTTCATGGTGCAGGTAGCACTAGACTATACTCTATACTGCCTGGTAGGTGTCGGGGTGGGCAATGCAGTGGAACTTAGGCAGTGGCCAGCTGTTTCAAAAGTATGACTCTCAGAGGAATCGAACAGGACACTGGGCGCATCGATCGATGAGAATTTGTGGGCCAGATGCAATGGGATCGCAGGGCTTTAGAGACGTGTCGGCACATGCTAGTTTAGAGGAATGGGTTCTGTTCGGAAAGAGGTTTGCATTGCAGCAAACTGGACCTGGTAGTCAGTAGGGCATGCAAATGTTCAATGGTCGTTGGCCATGCAGTACTTTTTGAGCATGCTGTTTTGTCTGACTTGCTAAATGGACCATGGATCCAGCAGACCCACGTTGTGCTGGTGCTTCCATCCATCTTCATTTTCGCAGTCTACCCGTAACCTCCAGACCGTGAAGGTGCATTATTTTGATCATGATTCATGATCATGTCCGTAAATTGGTATTCAGCTTGAAGTAGCGGCACTTTTGGCTGCCTCCAGGAGACCAAGACCTTTTGTTTCTTGGAGGGCAACAGCAACAAGTCTCAGAGGCCCCTTCGAAGATTGCCTTTGGCGTTTGCTTCTATGTTTGCGTTGCGTTGCGAGATAGTCTCTTGGGGATACATCTATTGATTGGGGTTTGAACAGTCGTTGTACAAGCTATTGCTTGAGGAGTGGGCCACAAGTTGCTAGCTGCTGGCCATTGTTGCAGGCTCTTGATCTTTGGCCATGACAAAGCAGGGAGAGAAAAGGCACAGACCATTGCGTTCGCCAAGATAGAGGAACGTGTCAGGACTTCTGGGATGAACGGGGTGATGGAGAAGCGGAAGGTATCATGTCCATTCTGATCAAGAGAAGGTTATTTGTATCAAACCATGTCTTTTGCATTTTTCTGACCAGCTTGTCTCAAGTATGTCTATAAGAGGCGTCGATCCTACCATTGCCAGGGCTCTGGAAGCTCAAATCATGACAAGGTGTCCAGCAACCTTTGCGGCAATATAGAGGTTCCTTGTTAATTCAGGTCAAGATGAACGTCAACAAAGTAAGCCCGGACCAGTGCTGTTTGTTTGTGTGTTTTTTTACCGCTCAGGAGTCAAGATGATGGTGCCGCTGTCCTGTTAAAGTCGACGTGCTATCATTTGCAATACTGGTTTTTGTGGTGCCGGCAGATCTGTTGGAGACTCCAAGGAGAATGTCGAACACAGCTGCTCTCATTTTAACCTGCTTCAAGTATGTTTGTAATAACCTACTAATATCGATTTGTGCAGCATCCAAAGATGTCCCTGACAATTTTCAGATTGTATTCAATCACCCTGCGATGTTTCGCTCTTGGAATGTCGGGACTGGCAGGCTGGGGTGACTATAGCTGGTCAAAGAAGGGAACCGCAGGAGGTCGGAAGACTCTGATAGTAACAAGCGAGGCACTTGTTACTACTAGTGTGGCACTTGTTACTACTAGCGAGGCACCTGTTACTACTAGAAAGGCACTTGTTACTAGCGAGGCACTCATTTGAACTCCACTTGCAAGAAACAGCAGGTGACCGCTACTATGGACAAGAAGCATCAGATGTCAGCCTTGGACTCAGCCCTAGGGTTCCTCATAAGAATGTACTGCATGCAGAGCCATGCAGAGCCATGCAGAGCCAAGAGCAGCTTGTTGCTTTTCCACCAGCCTTCAAGCCAGAAGGGCCAAGCTTTGCTGAGGCGATACCTTCATGCTGCGTGGAGATATCAGCGTTCATGCTCGGTGGCCCAAATGACGCCATGCAGCTGTGATTTTCATGAGATACCGAGTAGCTTGTTGGCCCGGAAGCAACTGGTGACTGATGATGACAGGCACCCTAAGGCACTTATGTCACACTTCTCACGCTGCCACGTCACTTCCTGGAACTGTCGACCCATCAAGATTAGGGCTTGGGGCTGTCAGGTGATGATTCAGACTGGGCCAAATGGCGAAGATCCTGTCATTGAGGCGGGGTCATTGCATCATAGTCAGAGTCAAAGTCTGAATCTCCTGGTCCCTCATCTACTCGTACGTACGAGTCTCAGTCGTGGATTTTCCGTGGCTCTCCTTGACAGGACGTGGAGAATGTAAGTGGCACAAAGCTGACGATTCTTTGGCTTGTTTGCGGAAACCTTGAGGAGCTGATGAGTGCAACGTTTATGGTATTTGATGTCCTCCAAAACATTCTAGTGTCTAGCGTAGGCGAAAGAGACTACAGTATACGATGTGTTTCCTTGTTTTCATTTTGTTGGGACTGTTTATTTGCTTGTAACTTTAGTTCTCCTTCCAAAACAGCAGCACTCGCTCAAGACACAACGTATATATGAAAAGAGCTTGCACAAAATGCATGTTTGGTAAGTACCCCCGGTGGGCGTTGAAAGGGTGGTTTGCAGGAAGTTCAAGAAGTTGATTTGCCTGCAGCCAGCACTGCTTGAGAGGGCGTGATTGCTTCCTTTTTGCTCAGCTTCCTTTCGGTCCCAGCCAGGCTTTCAAAGGATAAGGCAATGGTTCAGATCACTGGCAGTTCAGACAAAGTTGCGCAGGCGTGACCACATGAGACCATGCGGTGAGTGGCATTTTGTTGCAATGATTGAGGATATCATTCATCTATATTCATGTGATATACCAGGGCGTGGAGGAGGAAACAATCTTGATTGCTATATTGCTAAACTCATAATATAATCTCCTGTCAATCAGAGTGCCAGAGCATGTCAAATGATTGCTTTTTTGAAGCATGCACAAATACACATCCACTCCACTACGAACTGTGGAACTCCGGGGTGGGTCTAGTCGAAGTTCGAAGATGATAGCTGAGTGAATGGAGCAAACTGAGGCGAAGCGCCTGCTGCAACAGTTTGCTGACAAGTTCGTCACATGTAGCTTGGCATATGAATTTGCCACTGTAATTGTGCCCTTGTTGCCTTCATCGTAAGCTGCCTGAAGCTTTGGGCAGCAAGTCTTAGTTTTATCATGCTTTATTTGTTTTTATTATATAGTCTTCATTCCTGTAGATTCCACATGACAATGACAACATGCAAAGCTGAGGCAAAGTGAAGATGCAGCCTCAGCTTGAGCCCCAACTGGCCATATCCAGAAAAGGTGTGGTCGACTTGGGCTGCATGGAAAAGTCTTGCTGGACTTCCACAAGTCTCGGAGAATCAAACGACGCTGTCTTCTCGTATGTTTCAGCACCTCATACCTACATTCTGGTTCTACTTTGTCTTTCTTTTTGCTTGGCCGGGGATTGCAAGGATCACTGCCGCTCTCGCCAACAAAGTCAGCTCGGGGCCTTGGATTTTCTGTAAGGCCACCGTCCTTTGCTTGAGTTTCTTCAACACTCGTGGTTGCTTCCAAGACAGCGGGTTGAGACAGGCTTGCCGGAGGGTTGCTGAAAGAAATGCAATAATTTCATAACGATTCCCATCAGAAATTGTTTTGCAACATAGTTGTTGCACATGGCAAAAACGCCTGCTATGCTAGGAACACGGTCCCGGTAGCGGTTGAGGAACTCAATGGCACTTGAAAGCGTCTCCTACCGAGTGCACGACCGGTCGCCATTCACGGGACCATGCACAAGCCATGAACGCTTCCCGTCCTGATCTTTTGTGCAAAGAATAGTGAAATCGTGCCGCTCACTTGTCCGACTTGTCCTCCCAACTTTCGATGACCAAATCCCAGATCTCGGTGTGCTAACATATGGGTTGGACTTGACATTCAAGAATTCAATACCAAAGGCAGGCTTCGGATTGGGCCAGGAGCAGCCCTTCACATCAAGTCTGAGCAAGTCTGGCTTCTTGTTTTGAGTTGTTTTGCCATCCTAGAATCCTAGAAGTGTGTCCATAGGACTTGATGAGTCCCAGTAAGTGGGACCTGCCGAAAGAGGTTTCATGATGTGTTGGCCTTCCGCCACTGTCCTATGCTCTTCCTCCCTTTGAGAGCTCCAGGTTGAGAGAGCGTCGCATGTTTGTGATGTTGGCTGGTCTAATGTGAATAAAACATTCCATGAATCACCATAAAAGAAACAACAACAGATCATGCGTTTTGCAAATGTTGCTTTGTTTGTATCTTGTCAACAGCAGGCATGTATTGCCTCTTGTTTCTTACCCGTTCGATACCCTGGCCACTAGGAACTGAACCTCTCAAAGTCAAGCACACTCTTTCATTTGTACTAGCTTCTTGTTACTACTAGTAAGGCACTTGTTACTAGAAGCGATGCACTTGTTACTAGTAGCTTCTTGTTTCTACTCTTTCATTTGTGTGCCTTCTTGGTATGCACCCCTCATCCTGAGGCCACTACATCCGGCCAATGCCATGGATCTCCACAGCAGAGGTGGACGAGCAGAAAGATCTGCCAGAAAGCCCAGCTTGGGGATGCCAACATTGTCATATTAGATGAGTTACAACGATTTCATCCTTCACAATTTTGGATAATGTAACAGGCAAGAACATAAACCCGTCACCCTCGGTTTCACTGTTGTTTAACGCCTCGTGTGACTAGAGGCTGATACTTATGGATTGGCTCAAAGTTTACCTAGCTGATTCAAGACTTCAACACCAGCCTATGTGGGCGATGGCCAAAAAGGCCACGGTGTTTGGACATCCTTGGATGCTGAAATCACAGCTGGGTCCTCTTAGCTCAGGTTGAAGATTCAAGGACACCAAGACAGTGTAGATCAAACCTTCAAGGTGCTGGATGAAGTGGGGGGCTGTTGGGTGCATCGCTACTAGGAACAAGAAGCAAATAGTAGTTCCTGGCATTACTACTAGGAACAAGAAACTACCAGTAACAAGCCATGGCATACGATATTATAAATTATAAATACAACTGTCCAAAGCTCGACATGGATACGACTAAGACGGACAGCCGATCGAAGTTGAGGCACCTCAAGTCGCATCCAGAGTGACTGCACACTGAAAAGAGAGAAGGTGATCCACGACCTCTATCGTGACCATGGTTTGGAATTGGATCAAGCTGCTGCATGGCTGCAAATAAGATGCAGATCCTCATCGCACTTCTCAGCAGTTTGAAGCGGCATCGTCCATTTTTTGAATGATCATGTGGAGAGGAAGCTAATGACTAGCCAGGGACAATGCACAGCGGCCTATTGTGTAGGTAGATTCTTGAGAGGAGTTTGCCTGAGTTCTATCTCTCTCCCTCTCTCTTTGTCCAGGATGTCAGCATCAAAAGACGAGATGAGCAACCTGCTCACAGTGCTGGTAGGGACCCCATGTCTTGCAGTCAGCACATACAGAACTGACCGGACAATTGCAGACGTAGTGTGCTAACTGACCACATCAACAGAAGTTCCGACCAACGTTCCGGTGTTTGGGTGTTTATTGGAACAATTCGGAACTAGACATAACATACCAAAATGCCAAAAATTGCGAGAAGGTCGATACTGAAAGCAGACTTTGGTTGCAGATGTTGAGCAAGCAAGCTTTTTATGGTGACAGGTGAACCGTGGTTAACAGCCAGTTTATTGGTACAGATAATCACCAGACCGCGACATGATGCAAACTTGTTCTTCTCTTTGTGCACCATGCCAGCAGTTTGGTTTACGTACTGAATATTCTTTTGAATCTGGTTTGCAGGAATCAACCTGCCATGTTGGTAAGAAAGTCCGAAGAAAGATCATCTCTAAAGGAAATGTAATCCTTGCCACAGGCCGCGCCTTTTACGCTGCTGGCCGAGCCTGTGATGTGCTAAAAGTCAGTGAGGTGAAACTGCGAAGGGAGGGATTTTTTGGGATTCAACTTCGGAGCTGTTCATTTCCTTAGAGTACCAGCAAAGGACGCTACTAGGAACAAAGGGCATCGCTACAAGGAGCTAATAGTAGCTCCTGGCCCTATTACTTGGAACAAGGACGCTACGAGTAACAATGGGCTTAGACAACAAGACACAATCACCGTAAAAAAAGATACCCCTGCTGCCACTTGACGACTCCTGGGGCGATAGAACATGCAAGCTAGTTGTAGCTTCTAGTTGGCACCCACACAGGGTTGATTAGCTTGCAATAGCGCCTGCCAGGATGATGCAGCCTTCATCCTGGGTCGTGTTGGCAAAACGAAGCACAAGATCGCTCGGGCCGAGACACTTAGCATGCAGTGCATTAGGTTTGCAGCTTTGCACCACACTCACTTGGACTGTGTGCATTCGCTGAAGAACAGTAGATCGGCAGCTACTTTTTTTGCTTCGCCCAAGTGTATCCTAACTCAGAAAGGTAGCTGTGGAGCCCCCAGTCGTGATAGACATACAGTATAAATAATATACTGGACATTTGTACTACAGTAGTGTGAGTGAAGTCATCTTGTTTTGACTTTCACTGAATTCATATTTAGTGTAATGTGGACCAGATGCAGTACATCAGATACTCCATCCAACCTGAAGAGGTTAGAGGCCGGCTGTTGCTCAGGTCTCCGGTGCACAGTTGGAGCTGCACGAGCGGAACAGCACTGTCGAAATTTATGGTGCCTGGATTTTTTTGGGAGCTCCGAAGTTTTTCCTGGTCAAAGTTCAAGTTGTCCATTCAGTTTGATTCAGTTGATTCCTCACCTACTTTGTGGTTCCCTTGAGTAATTAGTTGGACGATGCCCCCTTTTTCATTCTGTTTGTGGCAGGCCCTGTCTTTAAGGCAGGATCTCCCTATATATACATCCAACCTCAGGTGTTCAGACTCAAAGAGGCATCAACTTGACGGAGTCCTAAACAAGCTTCATGCTTTCTACACTGATAGTATTTAAGCTATTTGCTACTAGTAGCTACTTGCTCCTAGTAGTACGGCCAGGAGCCTCTAGTAGCATCTTTGCTCCTAGTAGTGATGCCAGGAGCCCCTAGTAGCTACTTGCTCCTAGTAACAAGAAGTTACTAGTAACAAGGGCATTACTACTAGAGCCAAGCAGTTTTAGACCACAGTGCGCTTGAACGTGGAACGTTAGTAGATATCCTGTTGCCACATGTTGCGATATTTCTTTATGTAAATGTAAACGTTATATATATATATTATTTTTTTTTCCTTTATGATCCGTTGTGGCAGGTGATGATGAAAGTCGGCACAGGGCTCGGAAGTATATCGACCTGGTCCGTGCTCAGCGGATTGGCCCTGTGCACGTGGATGAATCCCACAACGATGGGGACTGACAACTGGGAGGGACTGAAGGAGGGATGGAGGGGTTGCCGATTTCGTGGACCTTAGGTAACATCAGGTAACAGTGATTGAATTAGAAGTTGATCTATTCATTCGCGACTGCTAGCTGCATCTAACTAGCATGGCAGTCACTATATTTGCCGCCGCTGCCAGACTACCATTTGCCAAACACTTTGGCTGGACGTTCAATGGTCAGAAACATTTGCTTTGCAATGACGAGTTAGGATCCCACTTCTGTAATTATGCAGCCCTGGAGCAGGTACTACGGTACTAGAGAGTCTTAAGCTTCAATGTGTGACTACATTCATGGAAGTTCATATCCTGGCAAAGAAGCAGGTGCTGTCGCCCAAGATATCTCAGCCAAAGCTTGCATATCTTGGAGAGAGTATTCAGTATTCTGTCTGTCCCGGGGAATCCCGCCCATCGTGGCCAACCAATTTGTGTTCGTTCTGCTCCAACTCTAGGACTTGACGTTGATCTCTGTGCCCAGCAGTTGTGTGGGCGCGGCACCTCGGGACCAGAGAAAACGGGACCCTGCACAGAGGTGTGTGTGTGTGGGATCACCAGGAAATTCAGCCATATTCAGCAATAATTAGCTTGGACAACTCAAGAAATGCTGAGTGTCAAAGTACAAGCGCATACATATTTCAGCTCAATGGCCGTTCAGCACTAGCGCAAGGCATGGCAGCTCGCTAAACTGTTATGAATGTATAGTAAGGCACTTGTTACTACTAGTAAGGCACTTGTTTCTAATAGCTTCTTGTTACTACTAGTAAGGCACTTGTTACTACTAGCGTGGCACTTGTTTCTAATAGCTTCTTGTATAAATTAATGGGTTCTCAATATGTGTCCCCTCTATCGCTGACATGCAGTGGGGCGGGAGAAAAATGGAACCTGGCAGTCGGTTCTCGTTTGGTCACCAGGTTTTGTGACAGGGAGCCAGGGCAACTTTTTGCGTACGTGTGAAGAGGACTGTCAATCGAACAAGGGAGTGTGGGGTGGGCTCCGTGAAATACTTGACTGTAAACGATGTTGCAAGCAGTTGAAAGCTAATTACTGGAATGATACACTTATCATCTTCCTTGGCCTCCAACATATTTCATGTGCCTGGACCATTGCCCACCCGTGTTGGTGTGCAATTTGCGGATCATGTCGACTTAGTCCATGATGCTATTCATGGTCCAAAAAGATTGCAGAATTGCAGACAAGCTGATTTAAACACTTGCATCATTGCACAACCTCAGTTTTGTTGAGCCTGCTCAGATCTCCCAGCAAATCTTGACTCGGATGTCTTTCGGTTGTAAGAGCTGTTAATGATCGCGGTGCTTACCTGGTCATCAGAGGGCTAAAGGGGTGGAAGCTTAAAGGGGTTGATAGTGAGTAACAAAAAAATCAACATAGTCCAGATTGGGATGAGCCCTTTTCATTGAACTACTTCTGTATCACTGTCATCTTACCCGCAGCAGTGACAAAACCTGAGGAAAGTTGTATTCTTCTTTGAGGAGACTGAGGATTACCAAATCTGCCACCTGAGCACATGATGAAGTGACACCACTCCTCTCTACCACATAGAGGATATACCCCGGATGGGGAATGTAAGTGCAATGACTGGGGAGATACATCCACTCTTGGACAGAACCATCACAACCTCTGAGTTGCAAAGCTTCAGCAGCCAAGGACCACGTTTTTGTAGACCCAGGCATTCGAGGTCTGGAGGTTAACCCGGTGTGGAGGTTAACCCGACTAAAGATTTACTCCTAAACTTATTGACTACTCCTCACATGTTCGCTTGCGAAGGGTTCCGGAGCGAAGCACTTGGTGAGCTGCCGTGCTTGGATCGGCCACTGCGGTTGCGTTGGCGCTGCTGAGCAGTGGCTGCAGCAGTGGGTGGTTGGCGCACTTTTCCTGGTCTCAAACGCCAATCGACTCATGCAAGCTCTATGGCCACCGTGGCCATTGGAAACCAGCAAGCCAGTATGCTTCTAGCCATTCTCTGCATCGAATGACCGGCACGTCCAGCCCAGGATTTGCATCTGGGCGCCTGTGCATGGAACAGCTGGTGGTGATGTGATTCTGGCTCACTGCTTTGGACTGAAGCAATCGGAAATGTTTGGCTTGGCGGCTTGGCACCCACTACGAACTTGTGAAAAAGCATTGATTGAAAATTGCGCTCTGCCAGCAGGACGGCTTGTGAGCTGGCAATTTGTGTAGGACATGTGTGAGATCAGAGAGGTTCTACTGGATCTGATCGCTATCGTCAGCTAGAGGGATCTCCTCGGCTCGTGGCTTGTCCGCGTCTGACTTGTGGTGCACCACAGAATTCGGTACCTGCGCTGATGTGGGCTGATCCGCTGACGCTGCCCGTAAGCTTACGGCACACAGGTTTTTTTGATGAAAAACAGCCGCGCGCCACATTCTTGCGGGGAAGGGTGGGCTTGGTTGATGGAAAAAAGACTTTCTCTGCACTGGTTTGCCCAGTTCGGTCTTGAACGAGTGGCTGCTTGTGAAGAACGCAACAATCCCGATCATCGATCTGAGGTGCCGCTTTTGCCTGGAGCTTCCTTGCCGCTGCGCCCGGCGCCCTGCCACTGCACCGCACCGCTGCGCCGTCGCTTCCTGGCCGCTGCGCTTCCGTGCCGCTGCGCCGGCGCCGGATGCGGTCCAAAGTGGCCAATGTGTCAACCAGTCCAAATGTAGGCAAAAACGGCGAACCCGTCACGTACTGTTCTACTCTCCAACCAACCCTTTACAACCCACCGCTACAACCCACTGAGGGCCTGGCATCTCAATCCTTGTCAAGAGTGTTGGCCAGTCTACACTTACTCTGCTGAAAACTCACCAGCCCCAGGCCCCAGGCACCAAACCTCCCACACTCAAGGATTCCGTTGCGCAAATTTCCTGTCAACTTCTCATTGGTGCACAGGCGCACAGTCACCCCAACATGTTTCTTACCTATTGGGTGGGCCCTTTGACCGATGGACCTTTGAACCAGCCCTGGTTGCCCTGGTTGTTGAAAGGAGTGGGGCACCCTGATGTTCTTCTGTGACTACCAAGGAGGCGTGGTTGAGAGCGTCGCCACACAAGCAACCGACATGACTTCAACACAGACTTTGCAAGATTGATGCCAACGTTTTTTGCCCAATCTCAAAAGTTTCACGAGTAGTGTTGACTGTGTAAAGGTAACTTCGGAACATGCGCTGGAAATCATTCCCTGCTGAAAGCTGAGTTGCCAAAAAGTGAACATGACGCACCATGCAGGTGGCCCTTTAGATACCTATGGCGGCTCTGAAACTTGGCGCAGCCAAAACATTTATTCGGCAGGTATCCTGCTGGGCAAGAACAAGGTCACTGTAGAACCAGCATGGTTCTTTATGTATTCTGTATTTAGCTTGGCTAGACTATGGTTGGTCGGGACTGCCTGGTGGGCCATATGTAAGTTGAGGGCACTCAATCCAGCTCCTGACAGAGGGGTTGCTTTCTTGCGTACAGTGTCGAAAACTACGGTTTGTTTTGGGCAGCTAAGGAGAAGCTGGCAATTTTTGGTACTTTGTGGGCCCGCTGCGGTGCTGAACTCAAGGCTGCGCTCAATGGTGCATCGGCGCACCTGATGAACTGGAATGAATTGCATGTTACCAAAATCGTACGAGCCTAGGTTGGGTGTGTCAGTCCCTCAACGCACGCGATCATGGCTACATAGATTGCAGAACAACCTTGTCGGAAAACAATACTTGGCAGGTTTTGAAACGCAATAATATTGCGAGAAAGGATGATAACGGTATGTTTTCATTGCAGAAAACCGAGTTTCAAGAATGTGTGGAGCAGTGTATGATCTCGTGTTTTCAATTGTGTTGAAAAACCCCCTCCTCAATTTATGGTCACAAACAATGGATGAATGGCTGTCCTATCCAACAGGATCAAACAGTTCGACACATATTTCTTTTTGTATCGCTGTACAAACACCTGTACCAAGCAGTCCTTTCGTAGGTCATGGCAGCCATCGAGACAAAACTGCCCGGTTTCTATACTAGCACCTTGGGAGAGACGCAATCTTGGGACGAGCCAGAGACTCAGATGACTCAGGACATAGTTTCCTTAGACAGCCTGATAGTTGGTGGTAAGGTCCCTGCATTTTGGTATCGGCAACTGGGAGTAAGTTGTGGTACTTCTACCAACCACCTCTCAGCAGCATTCTCACAACTACAGCACAGGCGTTAGCCCAAGACCAATCAGACAAGCGGGCTTTCACTTTCACTTCTTGTTATGGCTTTGCACACATTGTGCGCTTCTTTAAGCGTACGTCAAAAGTCCCATTTAGAGTGACCTCCTTGCAACACAAGAGATAGCTCTTCCACCGAGGTGGGGGACAGACACCTATCCCATGCACAATGATCAGCTCTCCTATGTGTTGGGCCGGAAAGGCTCCACGCGACAGAAGCTGGCACGAGCCAGTGGTCCCTTGAATGCAAACGTTTTAAGACTGTCAAGGCAAGTCATTGCAAATGAAGAGTAGGGAGCGCTATTTCATACGTGTCATATGACGCTGAGAGCAATACTTTAGATTCTCATGATTCAACGGAGTGAGAACATCCACCCCAGGCTGCATCATGGAATACGTGGGCAATGTCGCATTTATGGCCAGGGGCCAAGTCGGCCAAGTGTGAGTATTTACAGTTGGGGGTTAGATTACTCAATGGAAGCTGTTATGGAAGCGAAACTATTATGGCACAAATGGCGCAGTTGTGCACAGCGCTGCTTCCTTGGAGATGCAAAGCTGTGATGAAATCTGTATGTTTGGGCTGTGTCGAGTCGAGCCAATGACGACTTCGATTGATCCATCATTTCACAAATCCTTGAGAAACTGGAAGACGACCATTCTTTTGGTTCCAAGCTACCAGGCAGGATACCTTCCAAACCGTCGACGCGGCCGAGAGTACTTGGGCACGGGATCCCTACAAAACTATGAGTTGGGATACATCACAACTCAGGGCAGCAATCCCGTTAACTAGGTTTGATCTAATTCACTGGAACTAAAACAAGCTTGGACGCAATGACTTGGTGATTTTGATGTCAATGTGGATTTCTATCAGATTGAGTTGATCAATGACTTGACAGATTTTGGGGTCAACGCGCGTTGTTTAAGAGTCAGTGCGACATGGTGATTCACGACAGGCCTTTGCTCCAGCCTCGATTTTTGGCGTTGACAAGATTCTTGCGTGATCTACTTTATGCATTTTTATGCGACAAAATATAGTAACATAGTATTAGATAATGTGCAGGTAGCCTTCAAAGGGTGTCCTACGGTTCCGGAAAGCACAACGCACTTAGGTTGGCTTTGCGACCAAGTTGGCAACAAGACTGGCTGGAGCCCGAAGTCGTTGCGACGGCCAGCATCATGTTACACACCCAAAGAATGGCCTTGTTCAAACATGCGGGGCTCGCTGAGATTTGCAGAATCTATTTTCTACATTGTTTGGAGAGATGCACATACCGTCAGATACCTATTTGTGTTTTGGTGGAGAAGCAGACTTAACCATCCGCTGGATTACATTGGCTCAGGACGCATCTCCATTGATCCGTCTTCTCGGGAAGACGTGACGCTGGTGCCAGTGCCAAGAGATTGCATCGGCTATGTGATGGGGGACAAGCACGACCCCCAGGGAAGAGCCTCGAAGTTGAGTGGCACTGAGTCTGGAGACGTGGTAGTTCAGAGAACAAACGAATGTGTCAACACCTTGGTGAGTTTAGTGGGCCACTTGAATTAGGCATGTATGTGATGCAGCTTCCAGATCTGATTGAAGCCCAGCCGGCCTTCTAGGATTGAATTGTGCAATAATCTTGGAAGTCACCTGCGAACGGTATGCAGGGACTCAGCTCTTTTTGCACAGTTTGCTCTTTGAGCACTGACAGAGACCAATGTGCAAGTGGCTGCTTTGGCCAAGGCGAAAGACACTGAGTCGACTGGAAGAGGATGGGTTAGTTTCGCTTTCTTCGGTTCAAGAAAGCGCTCTCGTTACTGGTAGAGTGCAGTGATGTCCAAGATGCTAGGCTGTGGACTCTGCGTTGCTGGATTGCAAATCTGTCAGAGATAAACCCAGTTCAATTCATTTTCATGTTGCAGATGTTCCCACTTACATCAACAGTGAGCTTTTGTCCTGGGTACTGGTACTATTGGTAGTCCGTTGCGGCCTTGTGCAACGTCATTGTGATATGCACATAGTCTGCAAGGTTGCTTTGCGTTTTGGGGCTCAAAAACATAGACATAGACATAGACGATATAGAAGAGCGTCACAAATCAGTGGCAGCATTTACAAGCTGCATGGCTGCACAAAGCCAGTGCTCGAATACAGAGTTGTTCGATTTTCTCAATGGACAGGATTGGGAGACTCTGATCTTCTTTGTGGACAGTCGAGCACTGCCTTTCAGCTACCACGAGGCTGGAGCTTGCAAAGCAAAGCTGCAATAAAGGGCAGTCAAGTCCAAGACCTATGGCCTACCAGGTTTACTGGTAGTACTGGGTGGCATTAGGTCTTGTGTTTTTCTCTTGAGAGCGATGGCCTCCAACCTAATAGCAATGGCCTCCAGCCTCATAGCGATGGCCTCCAACGTAATTGTCTTTTTGAACGGTTAAGGCCGTGAGGTGAGCTTAAGAAGCTACCACCGATCGGACGCAGAAGGGCTCAGGCATCAAGGAAGTTCAGGCGGGAGGGGGAAGCTTCCTTGAAGAAGCCTGAGCCTGAGGCTGGATGACTATGGATGATTTGGTTCCTGGATTTCTTGACTTTTTGGTCCCTTTCTATATCTATTTGCAATAGCATGAAGCCGCGCAGGAGGATGTGGAGGGCTTGGCCATTTTTGGGGCAGAGCGAGGCCGAGCTGGCACAGAGCTCAAGGCTCGGTGTGGCCACACAGCAGAATCGCATGGTGTGACCGCATGGAAGACATAGGAAGACTAGCACTGGTTGATGCTCGTTGCAAGCATTTACAAGCTCACCCAGCTGACTGCAGGACCGTAGAAGGTCCCCTTCTCCTCCACATTTGAGCGGAGTTTGGGGTGGCATGGAGGTAATGCCGATTTCGGGAAGACCAACAAAAGAAATGATAATTACACTGTATGTATGGTTATTTAGTTGAATTGTGGGGTGTCCGTTTTTCAGCCGTGTCTCTGTATATAAATAGAGTTTTCAAGGTTTCAAGCGATGACTTTTTGTTTCTTGCCAGAGGCTTCAACATGGTGGCCTACTGGATTGATCACCACTCTGCATATGTATCGGCAGAAAGTGGCAGTGACTATAGTCGACATGAAATGGTTGATCGTAATTTTCGCCGATGATCGTTTTAGGACCTATTTCCTCAACAAATCCGAGGACCCTACAAAGCAGGACCCTGGACTGGACTCCCACGGGTAAGTACTGAACAATAACTACACAAAAAAGCAACTGCATAAGATTGCATGATTGCATCTGATCGTGTTCTCTAGGATTCGATTCTGCGGCGACGTAAACCCAACCTATGCACGCAGTCTCCAACGGCACCATAATGAGTTTCCCAAAACATCTAGGAAAAATAATCTAGGAACCAAGGCATCGATACTAGGAGCAGGGACACTACTAGTAGCTCCTGGCCTTACTACTAGTAACAAGAAGCTAGTAGAAACAAGCTAGTAGTAACAAGTGCATCACTTCTAGTAACACGTGCCTTACTAGTAGTAACAAGAAGCTACGAACGTAACAAAAGGCACCAAACCATTAGTGCGAGCGCTTCTTCAAGGTTGGCGGGAGGAGCTTCCTTGAAGCGTGAGCTATCCTGCGTAGTAGCGTCCTACTAGCTAGCTTCCCTTTATGAGTGTTGGACCAGTTTTCACAGGTGGACATACTGTGCACCTCTTGTCATGGCAATGTTTGTCCTGCTTTTCTGTTCTTCTGGTGGAGTTTAGGTCTGGAATCGCGCAAGGCCAAATGTCCCAACATCAGCAGTGAGTGAGGACCCATCAAAACAAATAGGCGCCCCCTCGCTGATGTTCTTTTTAGGACCTGGGACCTTAAATTGCCACATTAAACAAAAAAGCAAGTTTTTTTATTGTAGAACAGACAGTCTTTTGTTTAATCACAAGCTACTAGAAAAGCAGGCTTATTTATTGTAGAGAAGTCAGCTAAGTTTATTTATTGTGCAATTGTTTTTCATAAAAGCCAAGTGTTTTATTGGCAGGTGTGAATAGTTGTATGTTTTAGGTCTTTGTAAGGGGTACTCTTTGCCAATAATGTTGTTTTAAGCAGGATGTTGTAAAGAATTGATGGCGCGGATCAAGGTTCGAATTTTGATTTATATAATTTTGTAGTTGTAGAGGAGTGAGTGATTTAAGTCTATTGTTGACACTAGTTTGGGATTGTAATCATGTTTTTTCTTTTTTTGTGTGAACACTTTCTACTACACCTAACCTACGGAAAACATTTGGTTTATTGACAGTGGTTTGTTTTTGACTCCTCGTTCAAAATTGTAGCCTTTGGAAAACAGCAGGTTTTGCTATTGATGGTAGTTTATAATTACTGGTCGATTTAAACTGTAAATTGTAACCTATTGATAGACGCCGGGTGTTATTGACAGTATTTTTTTTACTATTGTGTTTTGGGGGATAAGACACTTGGGTTTATATTTGACTCGCTCTCTCTCTATTTTAAACATACTGAACAAGCTTTTCTTATTGATAGTAATTTGTTATTGCGTGGTTTCGGTAGCCGGGATATTTTTAGGTTTACTATAATTGACTCGTCGTTTTCTATTGTGATGTGAACATTAATTATTTTGCTGTCCGCTTATCGCTAGCGTGAGGACGCGTGAGCAAAAGTCCTGAAAAGTACCTCGGAGGTCCTTAGAGGCCCAAAAGGACCTCAAAAGGAAAACCAAATCCCCAGCAAAGCGTGAGTAATCGTGAGCAGCCATGTGCATTGGCATGCATTGGCTTGGCATCCTACACACCATTGCTCGTGATTTCTACAAACGGAATTGAGTTGACTTTTCAAGATTGCTCATGACCGAGGCAAGGCTGGTTTTACAGGATCCTATATCCCCTTTGCTGGGTTTCCTCGGATTCCTCAGAGGTAATCCCAGCAACTCCTATGGTTTCTCAGACATCGGCCCTTTAGGGACCTGCTCCGCGGAGTTCCTACTTTCAAGGGTCCATGGACTCTTAAGGTACAGCATAATGTTAATAGTAACAAGGGCGCTATTAGGTGGAGGCCATCGCAAGTAGGTTGAAGGCCATCGCTACTAGTAACAAGAAGCTACTGTTGTCTTGTCGCGATGTGGCCACGGAACCAAGTGTGCATGCAGGTCATGGGTGCTGTGGAGACAAAGATCCCACAGTGCGGCACCCAAAGACAAGACCGGAATGTGCAACCTACCTGGAGAGTGGTTAATTGGCATTCTTCAACTGACCAGTCTCAGCTGGCTCGTTTTTTCAAAACACCAACAAGATAGAGAAACTGCGGGCTCGCCCTATGATGTAATGCATGTCTCCTTGTGGTGCGGGAGGAAGTAGCGAGTTGTTGATCAAGAGTTAGTTTGATATCGTCCTACCTGACCTATAAGAGCCTATACACCTATATACGTGCTTTTTAGTTGAGTGATGTTGTAGTTTGCCCTGAACCGTATACAGACGACCTACTTGTTGGACATAAATCATTTTTGGAAGGCTGCATTTTAACAATGACGCACATTCAAACTCGAATGTGAATCAAGATCAGGACCTCATTGGGCCTCATTAGGATTGAGGAGAAGTGTTTTGTAAGAAGGTTTCAGACGATTAGATTTGGAAGTGAAGCAATGGAATGTTCATAGTTAATTTTAACAAACCACTAGTTGGGTTCCACCCCTTTATTGGAATGCCCGCGCAACGGCATTGCTTTTGTCAAGACTTTGTGTTTCGCTTTCAATTGCTGCTGACTCACAAACAATCCCGACCTTTGCTCAAGGTTCTTCACTCGGGCTGCCAGTCCCTCAGTTCTTCAATGCCCTGTTGCAGAGACGCTTTGATGCGCCCTTTTGGACGCTTCGTGGACAAACGTAGTCGATATTCGGCACAGGTTCTTGATATATCTTGATATGATATGATATGGTAAGACATAATAAGACATGATGATACATATAATGCGATATAAGATGATATAAGTTGCCAGGACAGCCAGAGCAAAATATTGATGAAGGCAGATGGTGAAGACCACTTCAACAGTTGTGCCAGTCAGCATTCGAAATCAGCGGGCGACTTTGGCCGAAGCCAATGAATTTGTGCGTTTCATCCTGGAACTAAAACATCCCTTGTTACCAGTAGCTTCTTGTTACTAGTAGGAATGTTTTTGTTACTAGTAGCGATGCACTTGTTACTAGTAGCTTAAAATGCCATGCTCAATGAGGTGGGTGATTTCCACTATTATGGCCCTTGGGGCGCAGATTGGCATTGCAAGGTTTAGTGGGCTCTCACGAGACAACCTTTCCGACCTTTCTATTCTCCATTCTTGTTGAACCTTTTGAGATGGGTGCTCGCTCCCAGATGTTTTTCTTTTCTGGAGACTGAAGCTATGCCACAACAACTTCGTTTGTTTTGCTGTGGGAACAAACATGTTCCTCCCCCCAAAAGGGCTCATGCATACCTAGATATGAGGGTTTTGACATTCAATCACGGTTGGGTGCTGTGGTCTCCCAACTCAGACACATGAAACATCGATTTGGTCTCCGTGTGACCTGAAGCCTCCAGGAGACTCTGATGATCATATGATATGCATTGACATGCCATGTCTGCCGCTGATGAAGAAATTGCATGACGTTTGAATGTGTGAGTTGGGCGCAACCTTGATTCAGGCACTCACGCCAACTTGGTTGGATAAAATGTTTCCTTTTTTTCAGGAGAAGAGTGTCAACATGGCGTTGAGTTGAGGTCGATACAATGCCTTTGCCCGGAGACGAACTGTCTTTTGCGCTCGGAAAGGAGACTGAACTTTCTGCCTGCTTTGCTCATGAAAAAGCCGTGGGAGTGAGGGGGTTTTCTTTTGTAATCTCTTGTATATTGTACCTAAAACAAAATCATACAAGTTCTTTTCTGCCAGGCTTTGCCTGGCTCGTAAATACAGTGAAAGTATGACATTCCCCTGATGTTCTTATTTGGTTTGAAAGGCATGATGTGTATGCCTACCGTTGCTTGTTGATACTCAGGGCCATCGACAAGGTAAGACCTTCACTGCATGCATCGGCAGGATGGTGCAACCAGGAGGAAACTTGTGAGCCTGCCCTTTTGTCCTTTCAAGCTTCTTTTGTGCAACTTCTTCCACTATCCAGCACACTATCACTATCACTGTTTGTTTGGGTTCGACAGGCAGATGTTTTCAGATATCTAGAGCGGTTTAAACCCGATTTTTCCTGTAGAAAGCGACTGCATCGACATCCATGTGGTCATCCAATATCAACATGTGGTGTCAAAAGCCAGGCTCGGGCCAGTGGTTGCATCCTCGAATATGCCCGGAGACTTGGGATAATCTTGGAGCTTGCAACTGGTTCGTGCCGATTTCTGCTTAAGCATTGCTGATCTGGCATTTCAGCAAGCCTTGTTATCCTATTTGCTGAAGAATCAATTGGGAGAAGGCTGATGTTTCCTGATGTGTAAATATGTTCGCAGGTAGGCAATGTGGCTTACATGGCTGGTACGTTAGAGGAACGCCTTCGTGCGAGGCCATGGGGGGCTGGGTTGGGAAACACATGAAGGGGCAAATGAATCACTATTTGTGCCCTTAGCACCTTCAAAGAAAAGGGGGTCTGAGCCCTGCAACAAGTCATCCAGTCAAATGACGGCTGAACAAGCTGAGAAGCCGCAGCAAATACATGCAAAATACTGTCAAGTACTCAAAATGCAATGCAAGCACTTGAAAAGGACCAGACACTTGGTAGTGGCAGCCTGGCACAACTAACTAACGAGGATGGTCATCCACTTTCAATCGGAGCCTTTGGTGAGGGTAGAGCATAAGCAGAACTGTCCATGGCACATTTTAGTTTGTTGCTGACCGGTCGTTGCTGATGCTAGGGATTACCTGACGTGGCTGACCTGGCAACGTACGGGTTCAGTTACCATCGAGACAGCTGGACGCAACGACGTGCGCGAGATGGAGGCGATTGCGGTGGGAGCAACAGCAAGAAGGGAAGGGAACAAGGAACACGAAGCTGTAGGTTCATGCTCAAAGCACTTGGATTTGAGTCAACTTTATGTCGGTCAACGTGTGGGAAATGATATTGGGAGCCAAACGGTTAAAGGCAGGATTTGTTATTATTGACAAGCATTGAAGAGTCGATCTTGTTACTAGTAGCTTCTTGTTACTAGTAGTAATGCGCTTGTTCCCAGTAGCGATGCCCTTGTTACTACAGAAAATAGCTTCTGAGCTAGAACTGGCCACTGTGACTCAGGTGCCGGAAGAGATGAGAGGAATGATCAAAGCAGCATCTTTGCGCGAAGTGGAGAAGGCCAACAGCATGGAGTCCTTCGATACGAAGCCAGTCATACGTGTTTCTGATCTGGGGTCCCAACAGTCCCAACTGGCCATGTTGCACATGCAGGGGTCCCCACAGGAACTTTGCGCCTCAAGGCTCTCGTTTTTTCAAACCCGGATGCCAGGAATCAGGCACTTTCTGCTTCTTCCAGGGTGACAGCAACTCTGAGATTTTGCTGATTTGTGGTCATCGAGAAGAGGCCAGCCAAATGCAGATTCAGATATCGTTGTTCATACAGATGTTAACCTTTGCGCTTATTCTTATTATCATGATTGCTGATTTAAGACATTCAAGACTTCAATTGGAACCCTTGACGATGCCTACACACGGCCACGAAGTAAAAGAGCCATTCTACATGACTTTGTGTCCACAAGAACGAAGCAAGAGTCCGGGCTTCATTGCTATTTGACATGCTTCAGTGTTCTGACCTTCCAGGGAAGAGCCTATGCTGAAGAGCTGCTTATGGATATCATCATGAAAGGCGCTAAATAGGTCAAAGAGAATGGAACTATTGCACACGTTGTCTACTCTGCCTCAAGAGTTCCGGTCCTTGATTTCTTGCAGCTTGCACAAATTGTTGCAGAGTTCACACAAGCATAGCGTAGCAGTGACACAAGACTTTGGCTGTACTCCTCAGTGGTATGGAGCTGCAGCAATTCCTTGCAAGGGTTGTTTGCAGCACACCAATCAAACTCAATCAACAGGAAAAAAACGAGAAAGGAAAGAAAAGGACCGGTTTAAAGGTCAAACTAAGAACCTCAAGAAAAACGGTGCAGCACAAACGCTACTAGTAGCTCCTGGCATTGCTACTAGTAACAAAGGCTACTAGTAAGGGTTTTCGCATTTTGGAGGTTCAGTGCAGCGGCCAACACCGCAAAGAGCGCAAAAGGCGTGGAGAGCTTCGGTTGAGCGGGGGTGGCCTGGGTCAGAGATGATCAGAGCAGTTCCTGCATAGCAAACCAACGGAAAGCTGTAACAAGGTAAAGTAGAGCAATATTATACGTGTATATATAATATAATATGCAGTTCAATTTTGCATGTCACAAGCACGTCGTTGTTTTCCACCGTATATGGTTATTTTTATGACTCCTTCGTTTTGGACACGCCTGTACTTCTAACTATAAGGTGCTTGCCAATTCAGAATCACCCAAGAACCTGACGGCAAGTGCACCATGCTGAAGTCCTGAAAATATTGTTTCAGAAGGATGTTTCTCATAACACAAATGCTACTAAGAGGCCTTGATCTTGCAGTTGACTCCGCCTTAGCCAGCACCAAAAAGACTGTCTTTACTACCCCTGTACAATTACTCTCGCAAATCGACAAAACATCCTTTGCCACTCCTTCCGAGAACTGTGTATACAAGATTGTATGATGACAATCATAGAATAGCAGTGTTGCTTTGCTTTGCAATTGTTTTCCGTTTTGTTTGTTCTTTCATCTTTTCAAGAGCACCTCAGCCCTTCCAGGCCCCGCGTCAGCGACGGCCACGACCACGGCGCCAACGGCCTGGCAGCCTAAAAGGGAGGTCACTCAGTTTCACTCCACAGCCTCGACAGTCAGCAAGAGTCATCCAGTTTAAGTTTGGTGTGTTGTTTGATGTAACAATTTGCAGTGATGCGTGTTCCAGAATTCATGCAGTATCTCGCTTCAGATATGGTTTGCGGTAGATGGTATCACAGCAATTTTCAGTTTCTGGTCAAATCTTCTGTTTTCGAGCTACACTTTGGGGGTTGCCATCCATATGCTTATTGAGCCTACATTGTGTCTAAGCAGTGCTGTCAAGGATATTCCCCGAGCCGCAGAACAGCAGTTCCGAAGAGTCCGAGTCAGAGGCATTTGCTGGTGTTCAAATTCAAATCAACATAGACATCGACTGTTTCATTGGTGTCATAGGATCATGGTGCATCATGATATATTCTTCATGGTGTGATATTCTTCCATTGTGCGTGCGTGTCTCACCAAGGCATCTCTTTCAAGCCGGATGGAGGAACATGTTCCTAGAATATCCTAGATTTATGACTTTTGCGCGCATTTGCACAAGAGAACAACGTGGTCTCATGTTTCCTGTGAAACTTAGCAATTGGAATGTGATCTGCACCAGCTTGAGATTCTATGAAGGAATCTTCCGCTGTATAAGCACAACCCCACTGACTAGCGCTGATCCCGATCAGGCATCTTCGACAGGTAGCGGTCAATCCAGTCTTGTCTACGAGTCGGCGTGACTTGGCAGTTCGTGAAGCCTTGCTTTTGGCAATCTCTTGTCTAGTTGCTGGTCCTTCTGCCCAAAGAATCTTTGTTTATTCGGATGAATACGATAAAATTGAGAACACAGCCATTCCAGGGGTTGAGACTTAAGCAGCCCACACGTTTTGCATATCGTTACTGTGAACTCAAGTTCCCGACTGTATTGACAATACATGTTGTTATTTTCGAAAACTGAGTGACGCTTCAAATGCATTTTCTGATTGCCTGGTGCAACCTGGAAGACTCAGTCAGCTAGCAAGATCTGCCAAGCAATCCATATGCTAGATACTTGTTAAGTCTTGGAGCTTTCAGCTTGTTTAGTGACGAAGAAGTTTACCAGGCAGTGACCAAAAAGAATTCATCACACGGGTTTAGTCTCGAACTGGCTGCAAAGAAAGCTCCTGCAAAGAATAACTACAATGGACTGCCCCTTGCTACTACTAGAGTTAGCGATGCCAGGAGCCCCTAGTAGCGTCCTTGCTCCTAGTAGCGATGCCCTTTGCTCCTAGTAGCGTCCTTGCTACTACAATGGGTGCCTTCGATCTTCGACAACACTGCACAGCTAGCTATTCGCAACGGGCTGCTTTTGACCAACCAAGGCCTCCAGCAAGACGCCCCCCTCCGCCCTCTACCACACCGCCACCACCACCTCGAGCCAAGGGGTGAGCTGCAGCTGTGTTTATTTTTCATGTTTGAAGTTTGAACACACCACTTGCATGAAATGTTGCAAACAGATCTATCATGTTCAACTGCTGTGGCTACCTTACGACTTGCAATGCACGTGAATGTTGTAAATGCATCGCGGTTTCTCGTGGCACGACAATGTTTCTGCATAGTTCTGCCAGGACATCGCTACTATTAACAAGGGCATTACTAGCCAGAAGCTACTAGTAGCGATGCTGATTGACATATCCAGGTGGGTGACTGGTCCACGAATCCGTCAGTGGGCCTCGCAGGACGCTACTTTGGCACGAGTAGTGGCTGCAACATGCTGGAATTGTGTGTTTTGACCGTGTTTGGTCCAATAGGCTTTGTATATTTTGGCAACCATTCAGAGTTTGCCGTGCAGAAGCTGAGAGATTGTATCAGATTGATGCAATTGTATTTGTGTTGAGAATTCCAAGCAATATTAATATGTGTTCTCCACCTTGCCACGACTGTTTTGATACCTAAAGGCAAGTGGTGCTGAAATTTGGCAAGACTGGTGCCTTATTGCGTGGAGATTTAAGTTTGGCAGTGAAGCTAACTCCGTGAATGTGCTGACCTAAACAGCGATGGAAGGACAACAGTGATTCTGACGACGAGATCGTTCCATACTGGTAGGCCTTAGGCCTTGCGGCGGGAGTTGATTCCAATAACGATTTAATTTAGGATTTGGGGATGAATTTATATCCAGTCGGTTTGTGACCCACTCGCCTCACCTCTTCGGCTTGAGATTCCAAGCCGAGAACGAGTTGTTGGGAGACAGCCCCCCAGAAAAACAAGTACGTTCTGCAAACAGCACGCTATTAAATCTCAGTGTTTGTAGAGAGTCTTTACTCGCTTCACAGAAAAGGAAGATTCGAGAAAATCCATGCATGTTTTTTCGAGAAATCCGAGCTTTGTGGCCTTGCCGAGACTCTGGCGAATCACTTGTAGATCAGGATGATCGCCCCGGTGACAGACTCTTCCTTTTCCACCTCCTTTTCTCCCGGTCTCGCCTCCAAACTGAACTCCAGTCCTCTCCACTTTGACATTTGCCTCAGCTCCGATCGGCCAATCAAACCAAAGCCGCCAAAATATGAAGTAGACCATAGGAGACATATTCAAAGAGTGCTAATCGAAGAGTGTTTATGGCATGTCGACAGCAATACATAGCGTCTCAGAGCGTCAAGTGTCAAGTTTGAAGATCTTGAAGAAGATGGGATGGCGGCGAAGAGCTCAATGAAGCAATGCCATTGAGGGTTGTGCAGGAGGAAATCACCGTCACCCGGTTTCATCAATTTGACGTGAGAGATGTGAGAGAAGGATTATGAGTTTGGTCAGGGATCATTTCTGGAAGCGGCATTATCCTCCCAGATGTCAGCACAAGTATAGAACCAAAAAGGACGAGCCATAAGAGCTCTGAAGTAATTTGTGTAATAATAATGTATATAATTAATAGTTATAATGGTATATATATGTACACATAATGTAACTAGTTGTGGGATCTCGTTGCGCAACATCTTGACCTCAGAAGAAGTTTCGACGCTCAAGAGACTCTCCGCCTTTGGCATCTCTCAACCCTTGGGACTCATGTCATGTTTTGTTGGATTCTCCACGTTAGCAATAGCAGACGTGAGACGTGGGGTTTTGATGAGTTCAGAGCACAGCAGATGACATGAAGCTTGCTCTAATTTTTGCCTTGGCCATAATCACCAACCTTCGTCAGCCAAATCGCCAGGTAGATCATTTTGTGTAAATACTCGTTTGCAGTTCCTCGGTTGCAGTATCATGGCTTCATATTTGGCGCGTGTTTCGCGATTTTATAGTAACTTGATTGGATTGATGGTTTTGTTTTCTTAGGCAGCACATTAGTACAAATACTATAGACTTGATTTTGCCGCATGTGCTAGCAACGGCAGTAGGCTGCGAATGTGCAACGCTGCAACTGCGCATGTTTCTCTTCAATTCTGTTGTACAGAACGTTCAGCTCAACATACACCAACCCTTTAGAAGAGGGGCCGTGCTTTTTCACCAGAGCGCAAAGACAAAGATGTCAATCATGGCTCACCAAGAACGGAATTCTGCCAACAACAACTTGGTGTTGGTCCTTTGCACTCATGTGCGAGAAGAAACTCTTCCTCCAGGCTGATCTACTTCATGATCATTGGCCGTGACAGGTGCTCGCTGATCTCTTCAAACATTTTTCTCACAAACCAGGATTCCTGTTTGAGTTTCAGCTGATTTGATTTGACCCACCATAGCACTGGGGCAATTCATGATGGCTGTGTTCCTACTGTCAGGAGTCACAAGTGTGGGCCAATTTGTCAACAGCACCAAGCTCAGAGGGCCGCTGCAGGCTTGATGCATGCAATTCAGTGATGCAATTGTAAAGAGGGAGCACTCATAATGCACCGCTTGATTGCATCCAAGGATGGAGTAGCATCCTTGCTCCTAGTAGTAAGGCGAGGAGCCTCTAGTAGCTTCTTGTTACACTAGTAGTAAGAATGCTCCTAGTAGCGATGCCAGGAGCCCCTAGTAGCGTCCTTGTTCATGCTCCAAGCTCACACTCACGCACCCTTGAGGCCCAACTTCATCACCGGATTGCCAGATTCGACTTGAGGGAAGCCTTTGGCGCAGCCAAATGTAACTGGCGTCTTGAAGGAGCTTAGTTGTGGTGTCAGTGCAGGATGCCTGGGCAGTCAGCATTAAGGAGAGCCAAACGGAACAGATGCTCGTCCATATTTTACATGTTTTCAGATGGTTGGGTGGTTTGTGGATGTTTGTGGGATCAATTTGGAATAAAAATCCTTGAAACATATTGAAACATTTCAACTTGTGCTGTCCTTCAATCAAGATTGCCGGCAAATGTTCCGGACCTGGACAAGAAATACTACATGGATCCACAAATAATAAATTACGAATGCAATTAATAATTGGATTTATATCATTAATAAATATATTGTATATATTTAATTAATTCATCTAAATATCTATATAGCAAGTAATTCAATATTTTAATATAATTATTTATGTTTATGTATTTATTTATATATATATATTTTTTAAATATATATTGAAATTTCTTTGTTTTAAATAATGAATGAATATTGAATATTCGATATATATTAATAATTTAATTTTATATATTATTGTATATATATATATGAATTTTATTTATATATTTGTTTAAATATATATATATATTAAATTTTGGATTATCTTAATATTATTTGCATTATTCTATTATATTTTTTACTTTGAATAATATTGTATTTTGGACATATTTAAATTAAATAAATTAAGAATATAATTTCCTGGCAAAGATACCACTTATAAGGGGTAGCATTTCCTAATAGCTATGTTATGGGAATTTGCAATATTAATAGGCGGACGGGCGCCGTCGGGTTTTAATTGGTGGAATTACTAAAGTAATATTTCTTACTAATTCACCTAAATTTAATTCCGTTTGGTTTATTTAAATACACTTTATATAATTGAACTTATACGACTCTTACACCAAGAATTCTTAATAGCTGGAATTGTCTTTGTTTTAGTAAATGAGAGGTTGGAATCCTCGAGATCGCCGCATCGCGTGAAAAATTCATATGTAGGGGGCCCCCCGCCCCCGGGTTTAATTCTCCCCTGGGACGCCTCTGGGGGACCTTTCGGGCATCTCTTATGGCATCCACGTTGGTTTAACTCCTCCGGGATACGGTGTAAAGATTTAACAAACTCCCAGGTTCATGACATCGACATTGATAGAAGAAACCAAATAAATCATGCAAGCAATTTTGTTTTGCCTCTGGGACACCTTTTGGGCACCTCTTATGGCATCCACTTTGGTTCAATTCCTCCTTGGAGGTTTAGGGAGACGGTGCAACAGATTCAACAAGATCACAGTGAACACATCGGATGCATCGAACAGTGTGGCAAAGTCCAGCCACGCTTCCTGGTTGGCTGTGTCATTGCTGTTTGTGTGTCTTACATGTTCACAACATTTTACCTCATGAGCATTTGCCTCACTCCGCTTGATGCCCCACCAGTCCGGATGCACCCCTGCTAGCTTTCGTCACCTATCCTCGGCCTCAAGTAATTCCTCAACACTCAATTCACGTCACACCAATCTCAAACACCAATTCGAACCAAACTTCAATTCCATCCATCTGTGGCTTTGAACATTTGCTCACAAGCAAACGAAGATATTTGGATGTGCTATTCAGGCACAGAAATAGGCAAGCAACACAACATGAAAGCTTCAATTATTGGAAGAACATATCAAATATTTAATGTTCGGTCCAGACTTCCAGCGCACAGGAGTTTTGTTTGTTTGCATCCTCGCGGGCCGTCCTGGGCTCTTTCGTATCGCGAAGCGCTTGTCCAAACAACTTGTATCCATTGATTTCAAACACGGGCGCGTCCTCTGTCGCAGAGGCTGGTCTGAGTCACGTAATTGTCTCAATTATGTTTACTCCCCCGTGATCCGATCCACCGTCTCTGGATGGATCACGCAATTAGGCGAGCTCGCAGGACGCACCACGGCCCGACGTCTCGGCGAGCTCGGCCAGCCGTCGACTCGGATCGTCTTCGGTCGCGCTACGTCTCCGGAGGTGCCGGTCGTCGGTGACGGTCGGCGTGGCTGGTTTCGTATTGGAAACTGGTCTGACTAGTCTGAGTGGTCAGACTGACAGGAAGTTGGCGAACTGAAAAAAACACATCTTTAAGATTCTTTAAGTCTGACTAACCTTTTTAAGCTGCTTCTTTAAATGCAATTGTTTATCTGTCAAACAAACGAACACACCACCTTCTGTAGATCATCCGGTCTTTGGGAAATGAGTCATGAGCACGTGCCAGCCCCAAAAACCATGGAAAACATACTTTACTTCGAGTGATCCCCACCATGACATTTCAAAACAGCACAAGTCCTTCAGCGCCAAGTCTTACTGCTTTGTCCGAAGCGAATGCTTTCATCAGGAGATGTGTGCCCAACTAATAATACAACTCAGATCCTCCGGTTGTGTTTGTGATTGTTTGTGCTTGTGTGTTTATGATTGTGTGTTTGTGATTGTGTGTTTGTGGTTGTGTGTTTGTCGTTGTGTCTTTTTTGTTGCGTTTGTGATTGTGTTTGTGGTTGTGCTTGTGGTTGTGTGTTTGTGATTGTGTTTGTGGTTGCGTGTTTGTGATTGTGTTTGTGGTTGTGCTTGTGGTTGTGTGTTTGTGATTGTGTTTGTGGTTGCGTGTTTGTGATTGTGTTGGTGGTTGTGTGTTTGTGGTTGCGTGTTTGTGATTGTGTTTGCAGTGTCTTTGTGGTTGTGTGTTTGTGGTTGCGTTTGTGATTGTGTTTGTGCTTTTGGTTTTGTGTTTGTGGTTGCGTGTTTGTCATTGTGTTGGTGGCTGTGTGTTTGTGATTGTGTTTGTGGTTGCGTGTTTTTGTGTGTTTTTGATTGTGTTTGTGGTTGCGTGTTTGTGATTGTGTTGGTGGTTGAGTGTTTGTGGTCGGGTGTTTGTGATTTTGTTTGTGGTTGTGTGTTTGTGATGGTGTGTGTGGTTGGGTGTTTGTGTTTGTGTTTGTGATGGTGTGTGTGATTGTGTGTTTGTGGTTGTGTGTTTGTGATTGTGTGTTGTGGTTGCGTTTGTGTTTGTGTTTGTGGTTGTGTGTTTGTGATTGTGTGTTGTGGTTGCGTTTGTGATTGTGTTTGTGATTGTGTGTTTGTGGTTGTAGGTTTATGATTGTGTTTGTAGTGTGTTGGTGGTTGTGTGTTTGTGGTTATGTGGTTGTGTGTTTGTGGTTGTGTGTTTGTGGTTTTGTGGTTTTGTGGTTGTGTTTGTGGTTATGTGATTGTGGTCGTGGACGTGGATGGTCGCGGGTGAGGTCCGGTAGGGAACATTTGGGCTTGGAATTTATAATTGAGGACCGGTAGGGAACACTGGGCGTGGTTGGTCGTGGTTGAGGTCCGGCAGGGAACACTGGTCGCGGATGTTCGTGGTTGAGGTCCGGGAGGGCACATTGGGCGTGGATGGTCGTGGTTGAGGTCCGGTAGGGAACACTGGGCGTGGATGGTCGTGGTTGAGGTCCGGCGAGGAGAAGAAGGAAAAGGAGAAATCAATTAATGTAAAATTTAATAACCCTCACCTGGCAGATGGGGAAAAAATACCTGGACATACCTGGTCCATACAGGCACTAAACATATCTAAAAATGATCCCCCTTTACAGCAAGATACCTTAACATCCACCGTCGTTTCGAAGGTGGGACTAGAATGGACCTGAGAGGTTGAGGGAGAGGGGGAGTGTGGATGGGGATGCGAGGGTAAATAGATAAATGAAGAGGAATGAGAGCATATATGCAGAGGAAACATTGAAATTGAGAATAAGGGAATGAAAAAATGAATATTTTATCATATTTAATTTTATATATATTATGAAATTTATATTTCGATATATTTTTTTTAAAGGATTATATATGGTAATCGATCGAAAGGTCGACATAAGCAAAAAATATTCTTTTTCTGGCAAAAGATTTACGAAATAATTTATTATATTATATATTATATGTATCAAAATCGATACTAATATCAATGATTGACGACGACAATATTGTATGAATTTCAACAACAATAATTATTATTGCAGCTGTTGTTGCCACTGGATATTATGCAAAGATTCGCGAAAATTCCGCGACAATATAGGCGAATATTCTATTTATTTTGTGGATCCCTACCCAAGCCAAGCAGCGCCAGACCCAAGCCAAGCCGTTGATAATTCTTCCAATTCATCCTCCAGCAATTCTGCTGATTCATCCAATGGTGGTGATTGAGAATTCTCGTCAATCTGCCTTGTAATACCCCAATCTCGTCTGTAAAATGTTTAGGTTGCTATGTAAAATCATTAAATCAAGATAATTTCCAGAGGATATATCCCCCGCGAAAATTAAAGAAATATCATGTTTTTTTTCGCGAAACATGGCCTTCCAACAAAAATCAATTTTAATCAACCTCCATATAATATAAAGATTTGTATTTTGCATTTGACACGACATTTATATATCGAAAATTATAGATTTTATATTTAATATGTTTGTATTTCATAAATCATAATTTATATATTTATTATGAAATTTAATTTATTCGATGATTATTATATATCCAAAATGTTATATCTATCACGAAAATTATATATCGAATTAAATAATTCTTTCATTTATAAAAAATATCGATTTCGAAATAATAAAATATAATATGTTCCTTATATCTGCCATTTAAAAAAACCCTAATATACGTAATTATATGCGATACCACAATCGAAATAAAAATACAGGCAACAACAAACAAATTCTACGTTTTAAATAATAAATAATCCCATCTTCTTATCTTCCACCATAAATATAATCCTAAATACACCCATATTGTTTCGAAAATTATATAATAACATATAATTAACAAAAAACAATTATTCAAATTAAACAACAAATATCTTATTAATATTATTATTATTAACCAACATCATTTAAAAAAAATAAAATATAATTCGAAATATTTAACAAAATAAACATAAATTTATTCAACAATCATTAAACATAATTATATCACATTTCCGATAATATATATACAATAAATCGACAAAAAATCATTTTATATAAACATATATTCATTCATTCATCACTCAGCGGACCATTCATTATGTCCGCCCGTGTTGGGCTGCGGGACATGTGTCCTGGCTGTTTCAGGAACAGCTGTAGCCTCATCCGAGCAAACGACAAAAACGGTTAAGTAGTAAATCGTCAATCGGCTAAGCAGGCAGTTATGGCTTCGAACGAAATTGATGCATATTGCTTCAAAGGATGGAGCCATGGTGCTCCTCTGTGTTGTTTGGGGACTAGCCACAAGAGGTACAGATCTCTACAAAATTCCTCATAACGTGGCGTTCGTGTCGGCAACATAAAATCGTCTGTGATCAATTGCGTACCTAAGTAGAACAGCAAAGCACGATAGTGTCCTTCGATCGACTTCGATCCATAATAGACCACATCTACAACAACATTATAAAATTCCTCAGAAGCCGTAGCAAACTGACCTCAGTGTGAGTCCATATAAGAGTACAAGTGTTCTTGGAGTCAAAATCAGGGTCACGTTCAAGTTAAAAGCAAATATAAGGACATGTGGCTGCGAATCCGGTCCTATATAAGGCACTATTGTGCCATTCTTCCACAAGGATCTAAAGTATAACGACGTCACTAGGCAAATTGCGAAGAAGCACTGGTGCAAGCAGACATCCATAATCTTCAATACTATCTTCAAGTCTCGATTCCCAATCGGGGACCTATAACATGGTCGCTAGAACCTATTTTGCAAGCAAAATGTTCAATATATCAAATTTCCGATAATATATATACAATAAATCGAAAAAAAATATATAAACATATAATAAACCACCATATATTTTATAAATATAGTATTCAAATATATTTAGAATATTAAACAATATATCAACCAATATGCAAAAATAATTCTTTATATGAATATTATTCGATTAATGTTATTTTTTAATATTGACTAATTTTAGATTCATTCGGAATTGAATTATAGCTATATGTATTATCAAGTGAAACCTATGAAGATTGGGATCGAGCCTGTCAAACCCGCAATACCTCCCTCCTTCAAAGATATCGAACATGAATGCAATCAACGCCGTATTTGGCAATCCATCGGCTGTCACAATTGTTTTTGCCTTGGGATGGCTCCTGCTGTACAAGGGCTGAGGGCTCAGGAATGCGTGCTTCACCATCCCGTTTTTCCAGTTTTCACCTGTTTGACCAACTTGCCCTTATCCACTTGCTTCACTCTCAACGTGACACAGCATGGTGTAGTTGGAGTCATGTCTGATTATATAGTTGGGCCATGGACAATCCCTCTCTGAGCAGTTGACACCGAAAGGAACAACATAAAGGACACATCTTTCATGTTTGTTTCAGGCGAGTACTTTGCCCACACACATGAGAGTAAAGTGATGGTAAAGTACAAATCCACACTCCACACCTGTGGTCGGTTTGGCTCCAGTCCTTTGCAAAAAGGGACTAATGTATGTGTAGCCATGGGTTCGTTTGCTGGTTGTGTCACTTTGCGTGTTCCAGGATGTTCCAGGTGTCAGGTGCCACCTAATGCCTATGTGATTCGATTGCAAGTTGAGGCTGTTGGCCTTGTCTGCGAGATGGAGACCATTGACTCACGCTTTCGATGAATTCTCGTGCGTTCTTGCCTAATGCTACTCACCGTGTCTTCCAGGAGATTGGCCTTAGCAAGAAAGAAATAACATCTCATCTCCCGCACACGGCAAATGTTAAAAGGACATGGCAACATGGAACGGACACACATTTGTTGAGCTTTTGAAGGAGTACTCAGTACAGTGCTGGAAGAGAATGCGCGATACAAATACTTTTGTGGCATTCCCTTGTCAGGACCCTCTCTAGTTTCATTTGCAGTTGTTCACTGTTTCTATACTCAAACGTAACATTGGTAGATCTGCTTCAGATGGACGTCAGAAAGAATATGTCATTTTTCTTTGTCAACATATATAGAAAAACACGGTTACGTGAATGAACCTCGTTGAGTTGAAGTCAGACTTCATCTGAAGCAAATGTCCGAAACGCACAAAGCTTCGGTAAGTTTCCCGAAAATGGAAACTAGAGCTCATTAGCCAAGGCCCTAGCCGACCATTTCCAACAAGGGCACTTTTCAATGCCTTTCAGCATCACACACATCCTTCTTTTGATTCGAAGAATGAACACAAGGAACTCTACAGTAGAGTTCAGTCCTTGGGGTTTGCCCATTCTGAGTCCAAATAGGAGTCATCCTCATCCTCCTGAAATGGGTTAGTTTTGCAGGCGACAGGTGTCAGGTGACAGTCTGACATTGAGCTCTAATTGAAAGACTCTGTGGCAAAATTCTGAGGGAGTTCCTGAGGACATCCAAATCAAAAATAGCTGAGCGATCTCCTGGAGCTTCTTCTGCTCCTCCTGCTTTCGGTAGTAGTGTGCCATCATTGCCTTCACCCAAATGGTTCCCAAGCTGTTTTGGCAGCGGAGGCGTGATTCAAAGATTAATTAAACTGCCGTATTGGATTGAAGAGCATCACCAACATCTTCCGTGGCCATATCGCCGCTCTGCTAAATCATATAGGTTATGACCTATGTGCATGTCACACAACTCAAGTCATTTTTGTTCTAGCTAGCAAGAAGCTACTAGTAACAAGTGCATTACTACTAGTAACCAGAAACTACTAGTAGCTAAGTGCATCGCTATTAGTAGCTATTTTGCTACTAATAACACGAAGCTAGCACTCGGCTCATGCACTCGGTGCCTCCCCCAGGCTCACATGATGTGAGAGATTGTCAAATTGTCCAAAGGTCCAAAGGACGTACAATGCATCAGTGCTTTATTTTGGTGAGGCTGGACAGGCCTTGTGGGTGTTTTCGTCGATGCGTGGCTCTCGTACAGGAGCACCAGCATTTTTGGGTGCCAACTTTGCCACAATCTTTGTCTTCTCCTTGGGAGGGCTATTGAACGCAACATGCACAGTGGCATTGACTGGCATTGTCAAAAAATGCAAGTGAGAGGTGCTTGTCTTGACAGCTCTTGACTTATCAGTCACACAAAAAGACCTCAAGGGCTGCCAACCCGTACCCGAATCCCAAAACCTTTTTGCCAACTACTTCATAATGTCTCTAACCCAACTGACATTCATCTCTTGGGTCGTTACAGCACACCTGTTCTGTTGTAGCAAAATAACTGAGGCTACACCGACCAAGTGCTGGACGTTCTTGCCCACATACTGTTCCAAAGATTGGTCGGTCCTGTCGCGTATTTCATGATAAGCAAGAATGCCGCATGTCATGAACAGCATTAACATTGTCAGCTCAATGCCTGAAGAATCTGCACTTCGGAACGAAGAACCGTCCAAGTTTCAGCCATTCCGCAAAGGTGCAGTCTGACTATGTCAGATATATAGGTCTATTCAATTTGTCACATTTTGGCCAACTTTTACATTTGGGGTATGACTTCCGGTGGAGTGAATGGAACTCCTTCCGAGATGTATGCCACGAGCACTGGCCGAGAGGCCACAATGCAGGACAGGAAAAACAAACACTAGCAAAGTGTATTCGATGCACCAGGGACTAGTTTCCAACCTAGTAGCGATGGCCTCCACCCTAAGAGTGATGGCCTGTGGCCTCCACCCTAAGAGCGATGGCCTTCAACCTAAGAGCGATGGCCTCCAACCTAATAGCAATGGCCTCCACCCTAAGAGCGATGGCCTCCTACCTAAGAGCAGCCTCCACCCTACGAGTAGTTAGAGGTGAAAAACAGTTAACTTGACATGGAGCTGGTCTGGGATTGACTCGGCAGGAAAGGCCGCTGTGGCTGTCATTGTATGCAGATCACAACTCTTTGTGCCAACCCTGAGCTCCTGAGCTCTTTGCCAGCCCACCAAAGATTGGTTTGCGAAGGCTCCAGCCTGACTTCAAATGACGGTCCCTGAAAAAAAACACATACATCGGATGGACAACTCTGTCCTCCACCTTAGGCCATTCTGATGGTATTGCGTCAATACAACTTGTTGAGACATCTACACAAGTGGATTGGCAATCTTCTTTGTAAGCAGAGTCCCAAGACTGCCATGGTGTAACAACAAGAGCAACGCTTATGTCTATGTGTCTACGTGGGACTTGTTGCAAAGATCTCTCAGAGCTAATTTTCCTGGTCTGGTGATTCTCCCTCAATGTGCCAAGTTGTCTTCATCAGGATTGAGAAAGTGCAGCAAAACAGAACAGCTTCTCAGATAAAATCAGATCGGAATCTAGACTGTCACTTCATGTCGCTTCAGCCAATTGACCAATGCTAAAGCCACCCTCATCCTAAGCATCCCCGCACGCACTGCAACTCCGATGCACCATCCAGCTCCTCTCGCTCTTCTAGCTCTTGCCGGGCTGGATCCTGAGCAAACATGCAACATCGAATGACCCTAAGAGGGCTCTGACGGTGGAACACTCCAATTTGAATGCATATACATGCCCAAAGGAGTGGCTGATCCGGCCAACACAACTAGCAGCTACTGTAGTAGGAAGCCATTCGTTAAGGAAGAATCCATATGCGCTAAAAGGCACAACCCCCTACTTTTTGTTAGCCCGTGGAGGTAAGCTTCTAGGTAGAACGCAGGATAGCTCACACTTCTTCCAAAGCGTTTGCGCTATTCATGTGGTTCCTAGATTTTGGGAAACCAATCGATTCCACCCATCCGGCACGTCAAGTTGAGCTCCGGGCATATACCGGCAAGCGATGAAAAGCTGGATATGCAATCCTGAACCACACAAACTTCCTGAAATCCTGAACACATGGTTCATGTGACCATAGAGCATTTAAACTTAAATGTGGGTAGTGTATGACACATTGTTGGTACTGCGCCACAAGTTCATTGTCAAGGCACATCACAGCTCCGCGCATGTTGTCGATTTGGGTCTGGCATACCTCACGGTATGTGATTGTTCCAAGGTCTGTTTCCTTGATACACAACAAATGCCTTCATTCTCTGCCCAAGACAAAGGGTCTCTTTTGCAAACATTCTGTGAGTCAACCGTGCTTCTAAGCATGAACCCTCCACATACCCTGTGTAGCAAATGCTTTGGTCGAATATGTTCCTTTGAATTTAAACGTGAAATATGTCACGGTTGCTTTCTATCCAGTGCTTGCCTGGTTGCTGCACTGACTCATTCAGGCTGGGTCACCAGAAAACCGACTAGTGCACTCCGGCGGCAAGTGGGCGGTCTATATGTCAAGACAAATGTTACTCCTTTAACACACTCTCAATGAGACAAAAGCCACTGAAGGATCATTGACGCAAAAAAACAATATTAAAGCGCCATCGGCACAAACAAGGACCTCTGTTTTTTATTCCTGGCCAGTACCTCTCTAAAGCCGCACCAGCCCCGACAAGTGGTGGTTCAATGATTGTGCTGCGGGTGCCTTCTTGTCAATGCTACGCTTTTGCTGCACCAACTCCCCCGCCACTGCGGCCTGGGAAAACAATTCACAACTGGAGACAAACTCCAGGAACTGGTCGTCACAGAATAGGAATACCAAAACAAACCAAATACTGTTCGAGAGTTTGTTGTGTTCCGCAGTGCAACAGCAAGTTTTTTTGTCATGAGTCATGAGTTTGCAGGCATAAAGAGCCCGCCATTGAAACGCATACATGCGGTGAGTTGTTGAGTAGCTTTGGTTGCATTTCGATATGTTATGTGTAAGTGTACCTCAAGGATGTGGATGTAAAGCTCAGCACTCTAGACTCTAGACCTCCGGGCTTCAAGCCTAGAATATGTAAGTATATGAAGACCATTGAAGACCCTGACATTCAGTAGCCCCCCCAAAAAAAGTTTCCTATTCACCCCCAAGAAAGAAGTAATCAAGAGACCGCAAACTGGCACTCTTTTACTGTCCACGGTCCTCACTCAGGACAGCTCCAATTTAATCCAACCTAAGAGCGATGGCCTCCGACCTAATAGCGATGGCCTCCAACATAATATCGACTGTTTTGGTAGCTTGCTCAAAGCTCCATCCATTCCAAGTGGCTGCTCCTTCCTCTGCAGTTCTGGACAAAACTTCTGCTACCTGCTGCGTGCTGCATCTTCTCGCATTCGTGTGCTTACACTTGAACCTACCAAATAAGCACAGTTGAAGGTTGTAAGACTAACCCCTGGCGTCAAAGACTTGTGGAGGCGCTGCACGAATCAGCACGGTGCCCGAGCCTCTGGAGGTGGAGGTACTCCGGTCCGAAAGCCAGACTCATCTGGTCCTTAAGGTCACGACGGTTCAGCAGGGCTGGAAGCAAGTGCTCAAAACAAAAATGCAGGCTCAAACGACTCTCAGCAACTGAACTTGTTACTGAAGTTGCTATGTGAGTCCAAACGTTGTAAAACAAACACACAGTTACCAGAATAGAGCAACAATCAACCAAAGTGCACGAGTTTAGTTTCCACTTGAGATTTCCATGTGTGTTTCGGTGATCAAAACGAATTGGGTGCGCTACCCCTATCGAGTCCACCCAGTCGCGACCCGATGAATGGAGCCGCATGAGGATCTGGCTGGTGGGCTGTCCGTAAGCATTCACATCCAGCTCTGTGACCTTGCTGAGATCCTGGTGTTTTTCTTCATGGAAATCGTTTGGACCAATGTATTACAGCTCAAGCTATGCTCAAGCTGCTTCGGTTTACACAATATGACATGAGCAATCTGTTTGGCGTTGTAGGAGCGTCCCGTGGCAGTTTAGTAGTTTTGCAAATTACAATCTATATACAAGGATGAACGTGCTAACCTCAAGGCATCTCAAGGCCAATGGAATGTTGTGCTCATTTCAAAGTGCATCAACATGCCAGGCAAAGAGTCTGGCACAGTGGTCTTGCCATTCTCACAATATTGCGTCGTACAGTGTCACCCCTCAACAAAGTCAATGGTGCCGGAGCAACAGTGTTTTTTCTTGCAGAGACAGCATGTGGCCAACCACGTTAAGAAATGCCTCTCGATTAAAGTATAGTACCATCCTTGAACTGTCGATTCTTTTTGCGCTCATTTCCAACGCACTCTGTGCTAGGTTCTCCTCCAGGCCAAGCATCTCAACACCAAGAGTGCCAACAAAAGGCTGGTGGCTTAAGCGGCTGCATAGTTCTGTGTGAACTGTCGATGTCTTTTGTCTCTCTCTCTCTCTATTGTCTTTTTCTCTCTCTCTCTCTCTATTGTCTCTCTCTCTCTCTCTATTGTCTCTCTCTCTCTCTCTCTGTCTGTCTGTCTCTCTCTCTCTCTGTCTGTCTCTCTCTCTCTCTGTCTCTCTCTCTCTGTCTCTGTCTGTCTGTCTCCTTCTTTCTCGCACCCTCTTTCTCTCTTCCTACTTACCTACACTTCGTGGCACGTGGATGTGGAGATTTCAGTATTTCTGCAAACAATCCTTGAACAATGAACAACTTTTAAAAAAGAAAGAAAACAGAAAGAAACACTGGTCCAAGGGTTAACGACAAAAGGAAAATAATTGGAAACAGGGAATTAGATTAGATTCTTTTACAGTTTCGCCACTAATGCCAGTGCTTGTATTAAGATGTATTAGGTTGGAGGCCAGCGCTATTAGTGATTGAATTGTCAATAATTTTTCATTTATATTCATGTGTATAGTTTTGACGGATATGAAGCACTCGCTCGCTTTGCGCTTCCACATCGGCTATGCCGGCTCTCCTCAGAGATGCCTCGCGTCTCTTCAGGCCGAAGTGGCCCATGCTTTGCCAATTCCTGAATTCAAACGAGTTTTTCCGAATATCCTTACTTCATCCTAATTCCAATAGCTGCTGCTAAGAGGTAGAACTTGGTGAGATGATGTGGGATGGTTACGGTGCTGTCCTTGCAAGCCATGGAGAGGCGCAAGACTTTCAACCTTGTGCACAGGATCGAGAATCGAGAGTATTTGGCGTTGTGAGTCTGCTGTGAAAACGCAAGCATGCTGAGCATGCGGGTGGGCAGCAAATGGGAAGGCAGCCACTGCATCACCAAAGCAACAACTTGCAACAACAACATGGTAAACATATTCCAGCTCACTCAAGTCAGGAGTGGATTTTGATCGATTTAGTTTCAACAGCTGCAGGAACAACGAGATGCCAAACAACAGAAAGTGGAAAAAAACACTGCCATCACAGTTCGGCATGCACTGTCAAGTCTGACATATTGCCTTTTATCTGCTCATAGATTCTGGATCATTGGAACGACAATTTTTGGAATATGGTGCATCCTGACACATGTGCGAGTAATCACAACCTTGTGGGCCACACCGTAAATTGTGAAGCTCGCAAAGCTCTTTCAAGAGGTCACCATTGTTGACCTGGCCAAGGGCATTTTGTCTGTGCTGCTTGTGCAGAATGTTCGAAACCAAAGCTCAGCTCAGTGCCTAAGTCTTAAGTTCTAGTGTTCCACCCACTTTGAGCAAGCTGCATTGAGGGCTTGATTCATTTGTTGGCCGTGCAGGGCTTCCTCAACTCCAAGTGCAGTATCTTAGAATCTCATAAAACCTGAGGTGGTCGCAAAGGCTTGCAAGCTTGCCCGATTTCACGCCTTTACGGTTGTCTCATACAGGAACTCATTCTTCTTCTCAGAGCGTTTTACCTCCAAAAGCACCATGATTGGCCTCAGAAAATAACAGATCGTGCAACAGAACTGCAACAATCTGATCTCATGGCTTGTGGTTTGACAAATTGCTACATCTCATCTGTACACCGATAAGGAGATAAATTCCAAAAAGCTGAGCAAGTTGACAAGCACGCCAGCTGTGCACTGAGGGACAATCAATTATCCATGCAAAACAACTTCAATACTCACACAAAATGCATCGATTCTTCGCCAAAAAAGTTGTGGAGTCTTGCAAGAAACTCATGGTCCATGGTAGAAGGATCGTCCTTTCACTCACCAAGCTCAACATTTACCTCTACTCTGAGTACACAACTTGATTTTTGTTTCATTGTCTATCTGATATTTTTCTAGGGGTGGTGAAAGCTCCAACCGCTGATATCCCAGCAAGGCCTTGGTCAGCGAGGATTTGTCGAATCTCACTGAGCCAACGTGGCAGAATCCGGGATAAAGTGCCCCCGCCCACATAAACGCATGATCTTGATCCAAGTAGAGTATTTCTCTGTCTTCAAATACAGGGTGAGAGCAAAACCAAGCTCGACGAAAGGCTCGGGTTCCACACAAGAAGTACTTAACGCGTAAAATACGTAGAATATGAATGCCACACCCAAACAGTACACGGAGCTGGGTGGCTAAACCGAACCCACACGCAAAAAAAGTTCACTCGTTAAGTTATGTCTGGTCAATAAAGCCTCGTTATGTCTGGTCATGTCCCACAAAATTGCAGAACTTGTGATGCCACCTATTTTGCACGACTAACCATTGTCCAGGACCTGTAATGCCGATGCCATCATCTCAGCTTGTGGATGTACTCCCAGGACTGTCACCAGCGTCACCTGGACTATCCAAACAACAGTTGCTTTGCAAATGACAATGCCAGGGAAAGCTGCCAGCTCACAGCATTCTCTGTTTGCAGCCCTGAAATTGTTTGCAACCATGCCCTTGTCGTCGCAAAGTTTACGGGATGGCGGGCCAGGTCAAAAGAAGTCCTGCCACCGAATCCCTCAATAGTCGAGACGTTGATATTCCAGCTTCCGAGCAGCATCAAACCACTTCTGATCTGGCCAGTTTTCCCTGGTGTTGCTGATTCCGGCCCTCTCCATTCCTCTGCGTACATATTGCACAAATTCATCCCAGAGCTTCTCATCGACCATGCCCTTGGCAGTTCGCCAGCGCATCAAGTTGCACTCCGCTGCCAATAGCACCAAATCTCGCGGAGGAGCTGTCCTGTGGTGCTGGGGATGGAATTTGCATCTGCCAATCATATTGGACGTCCATCTCCATAATAAAGGGAACAGCAATCAGAAAGCTAGAAACAAAGGCTACAGAAAGTAGAACTGACACCTTTCCGTGTGAAACCATTCTTTATCACACCATGTCTGCTGCGCGTCTCCTGAGGTTCTTCGGTTCCCTTCTTTTCAGGCTCCGTGTCTTGGCGGCGCCACGAGCAAGAACCACCTCGAGGCGAAGGCATCTGTGCGAGAGATGAAGAATGGATTGTACAGTTATATAAATCTAAAAAGTAGAGAAAGTAATAATATTGAATAATCTTGATTTAATCTTTAAATTTCCTAGACTTTTGTAGAAGAAACTCACCATATCCAGTTTTCACTGCAGCTAGCGAGAAAACACAGCATGTATAAATACAAAGTTGGTCGCACAATAGAACTTTGCCAGCAGCCCATCCAACAATCATGAACCAGAACGTTACATCCCGAATAGAAGCGGCAGTTCGACAAGTAAAGGGTGTCAAATATTATGATTCTTGGATGGCACAATCAATTCTCTTGAATTCCGAGAACCCAGTCTTCCATTCGATTGAAGCCACAGTCAGGGCAGGACACAATCTCCAAAGCTGACCAAACATCAACCTTGACAAGGTTGTGGAGGAAGATTTGCACTATGCAAGGGAACTTGCTTCTCCATGATCAATGATCCCTATGGGCCCTATTCATGAGTTGAAGATTGGACCTTTGCCAAGCGCAACCACACTATAGTCAGGAGGTTCCTTTGGAACAGTAGGGACACAAACATGACAGTCGCCGGACATGATTTGCACAGTAGTGTGGGTTTGCAAACAAAGGGTAGAAAAAAATAAACAAGGTAAGGTTCACTTCAGTAAGGCCCCTTTAAAGGGAGCCTTATCAAAACGGCAATTACTTCCTCTCTTAGACTGCTTTCATGTTCGCTTTCTTATGCATTTGATCTGTTGTGAGTCACCCGGACTATTGGTAAAGTGATTGCCTGCTGACAGGGCAGCAAAACTGCTACATTTTGTACATTTGATCTGCAAGAGAGCACCCTAGCAAAGAAGGCTTGATGGCAAAAACACCGCGCATGCAGTGTAGGGTCAAGTCTAGAGTGTATGCACAGAAACATCAACACACCTCCGCCGGATACTTAACCTCGCTTTTAAAATGCCTTGGGAGCTTTCAAACATTGGATTCTCACATGCACACAACCCACAATATACATGTGCGACTGTGCAAACACAATGACCGCAAGTGCAAATGACGGTGAGGGAGTCCGCTGATGTACTCAGCACAATTATTTTTTTTAACAAGAATAGAATCGATTGCCACAATAAGATGATCCCTTGTATATATATATATATGTTTGCACAGTGTAGTACGACAAACAACAAGAGAATGGGAATCACCACTTTGTTTTTCTTGTTGGACATGTAGGTGTCCAACCGACAAAATACCAGTCACCCCAAGACAGTTGACAGAACGCCTTTTCGTATGTGGAAAATTTTCCCGGACAGGACTCTATCAAGATTGATGCCACAAATCTTCACGAACACACCAACAACCACTTTGTAAAACCAGGGAAATAATTGCTAACTGCTGCTAACTACAGATTTGATATGTTTTTCTGATTGAGTTATTTCCAAGCGGATCCCCTTCCACACATGTGTGGCGTCAAAATCAACCTGAGCGCCACGATCGACAATGGAACTTTTGGCAATGCAGTGTTCAAACCATTCTTTGTGCACCGTCCAGTGTTTCAAGTCACCGACTGAATAGTGTCTGTCTACCGCACACACACAATTGCATCAATGTGATGTATAAACGAACCTGTTCTGTGATCAACGCTGTCCTTGCTCACAGGCTTCTTCGTTGGATGACTTGCTCCCTCTGAACTGACCCAGGAGACTACCCCTTCGATATCTTGTCACCAAATAGGAAACTATGAGGTTTCGGCACAGTCATTTTGGCTGCTCAGTACCTTGACGCAGCCCTTGAAATCTAGGAAGTATGTAGGGAACTGTCATCGACCGGTTCCTAAGAATGTTTATTCTTTGCCCTGTTTTGTGGTTTTGTTCCTTTTGTCTTGTGCTTTCCAAATTGCTTGTCAGGCTTACATAGGGGTGAATTTTTCATGTTGTTTTTGCATCGTTTCCTTTTTTTTCGGGATCTGTGTGTCAAAATCCTTGGGGTTCACAATTTGCTGCCATTTATGGCAACCTAGTGTCCTTTGAAAGGAAACGCACTGCGGACACAAGGTGGAGTGGCTGAGCTTGAAAGAGAAACAGTTTCGGGGCTCACACTTAAAAGAAACAGCTGTCGTAGCAAGCAAAGTACATTGGCGGAAGAAGCAGCGCAGATTTCACAATGGTGTCCGGTGCAGTGGGGCGTGGGGCGTGGTCGACCTTAAAAAATCACTGTTTTCGTGGCGCTGAAGGGAGGTTGGGGGAAGCGCGTGTGCTTGGATGTTTCTGTGCGCACCTGCTTGTGTCATGTTTTTTTGTTTCTCTCAATTTTCGTGGTGTTTGTTGGGGTGGTTCGCAACTCATGCGCGCACAAAACTCACCTCACTTGCGCAAGCGATGTCGGCAGCGCGCGCCCCCACCTACTTGATTGTGAGCAGGCCATATCCAAAACATCACTTGCCAAGGTGAACTCACTAGCACATGCATGAACCACTTGTCCACGCTGCGACTCACTTGCGCACACAGGCATGTTGCTACATTGGAATGGCACCTTCCTCTTCTAAATTTTACCCGCGGGTGGCTCATAAAAAGGTCTACTATGTTGGAATGGCACCTTCCTCCTCCAATAACTTTTACCCTTGGGCGGTTCAAAAAGCCTTGGAAGGGCTCCTGCCTGCTCTAAATTTCACCATCGCGTGGCTCACAAAAGGTCTGCTCTCTTGGAATGGCCCCTGCCCATCTAATTTTTGCCCTAAGCTGGCTCACAAAAGGTCTGCTATGTTGGAATGGCACCTTCCTCCTCTAAACCTAGCCTCGCGTGGCTCACAAAAGGTCTGCTACCTTGGAATGACCCCTTCCTCCTCTAAATTGTAACCTCGCGTGGCTCACAAAAGGTCTGCTACCTTGGAATGACTCCTCGTTCTCACCTAAATTTTGGCTTTAATGCGGCTTGTAAGCACCACATGTAAGCAGTGCTGTACTTCAAAGTTTTTCCCACAAACACCGCAGAACAACCATGACATACATATGCGCAAAGCGTATTGAAGCTTCTCTGTCTAATGTGTTTGTGTAGCTAAAGCATATATGAAACGCGAGGGTGTGCAAGTTGCGCAGTAGACCAAACAGCAACAAAAATCAACAGAAGCAACAAGACCAGCAAAGCAACCAAAGCACCCAAAAACGAGCCGAGACAAAAAACAAACAGAAAAAACCAAGGTAAACACCAAAAGCAAAAAACAACAATAAGCAAACAAGCAGCAAAAGCAAAACCTCAGTAAAAGCAAAAGCAATGCAAAAAAACAACAAAAGAAGAAACACAGCAAAAGCATAAAAGCAGCAAAAGCAACACTTGTTGAATTAAATTGCCGAACAACAAATGAAACACATCACTAAAAACATGCCCCTCCCTTAGATAGTCCCCTCAACCGCTGCCATACATAAAACGCTGGAAAGTGCGAATCAAATCGCGTTCTACTGAGGAGACCCGAGAGTTCCCCATTAGCCGCCCCAAACAATTCCAGGGCGGGGAGGTCGACCCCCCCCCCC